GTATCTATTTCATTTTTGAAAACCAAGTTATGTGTTGGATGTACCAAGGGGTTTGAGATTCTTTCATTAGAGAAAGGAAAAAAGGAACCTATTTTAGATGAGGCTGATCCATCGTTAGATTTCGCTACACAACGTGAAAGCGTTACACCATTGGCGATTCATAGGTTGGGGAAGAATTTCTTGCTCTCATATTCCGAGTTCTCGTTCAAAATCAATAGGAACGGTTGGAGAACCCAGCATGATTGGAGTGTTTTCTGGGAAGGCAACCCTCAGAACATCGCGTTATTCTATCCTTACTTGTTGTCCTTTGAACCTGGCTTTATTGAAGTTAGAGATTTAGATTCTACTAATCTATTAAGGGCCCTTGTAGGTGAGAATATCCGATTCTTACATTCGAACGAACATGAGGCTTTGTATGCATGTGAAGAAAACGGTTATGACATAATTGTATCAATTGATTTCTTGAACTTAAAACCAAAAATCACCCAACTATAACTGACACTTATCATTGATATGAAGAGTTAGTTCTATAGGATTATATATATAATTGGCTAATATATAATGATTAATGTAACTAAGCATAGGTTTATATGGCGATGCGTGTAGTTACCGAACACGAATAGAGGGGCCGGTCTCTTTGTTCAGCAAGAAAAGTAAAATTCTTCACCTTTAAGTCAGTTGTTGACAATCTATTTCTTTAATCGAAAGTGTATTCAACATGTCGTCCATTATTGAGTTAAATACACCAAGTATTGAACGTCCATTCGGGTTACACTTATGGCCAATTTTCAGCTATGTGTTTGAGCTGATCATTGGTTATCCAGCCGTGGACTTTGAATTCGTTTACCACAAAACATTCTTAGCCAATGGATTCCATGCGATTGGAATCATTATTGTCTACTATATCGTTGTATTTGGTGGTAGAGCATTGTCATCAAAGTTGAAGTTGCCAGCGTTGAAGTTGAACTTTTTGTTCCAGTTGCACAACATTGTGTTGACTTTAATTTCATTATCATTATTATTGTTGACCATTGAGCAGTTAATTCCAATCTTGTACCACCACGGTCTTTTCTACGCGATTTGCCATAGGAATGCGTTTGCTCCAAAATTGGTTACCTTGTACTACTTGAATTACTTGACTAAGTACTTGGAATTGATCGATACCGTTTTCTTGGTGTTGAAAAAGAAGAAGCTTTTGTTCTTGCACACCTACCATCATGGTGCTACCGCTCTTTTATGCTACACGCAATTAACAGGATCGACCTCAGTGGAATGGGTTCCTATCACCTTGAACTTGGCTGTTCACGTCGTCATGTACTGGTACTACTTCTTGAGTGCCAGAGGCATCAGAGTGTGGTGGAAAGAATGGGTCACCAGATTCCAAATTATTCAATTCCTCATCGACTTGGTCTTCGTCTACTTTGCCACCTACACCCACTATGCCTACAGATATTTCCCATCTTTGCCTCATATTGGTGACTGTTATGGTTCTGAATTAGCTGCTGCATATGGTTACATGATCTTGACCAGTTACTTGGTTTTGTTCATCTCATTCTACATCAAGGTGTACAGCAACCGCAAGATCTCAGCTGCTACCTCGAATGGAGCAGGATCATCAGCCAAGTCATCTGCTAAGTCCTCCACCGTCGAACCAAACGTCACCAAGGCTAGATCTCGTAAAGCTTAATCACAAAATACAGATCATACATAATAACATAGACAACTGTTAGACTGCGGCTTGCCTACGTCTGCATGTCCAATTAATTCTTGTTCGATATGTACTTGACAGGTTTAATGTCCTTATTTATTCCATTTTATTTCGTTTATGTTACTTCACTTTTAATATACTACTTGAATAGGAAGTCAATTCTTTTGTAATTACCACGTGAAGGGAATCACCTATACGATCTTATACGACATGTGTAAGGTTGTTGATGGTGTGTACTTTATGTTGAGTTCTACTCCCCCCCCTTTTCCATTCGCGGACTCCTTCGGATCGGATATTCGCTGCGTTGGAATTATCCGCGCCGATGCCACTGCCGCGTTCGAGAAGTCGTATATTTTGATTATCCTACCGATGACATAGTCGGCGTCGGCTCGTAGATAATGTTCCCCCCCGGGTCCGGCTGAGATGAGTGCCGAATTACATCCGATTACTAAGTCTGGGAGCCTTACTCTGCGTATGGCGCATGACTTTTGGAACAGTACCTATATAGGAGTTTCTCCTATTCCCATTAAGACAAGGCCGGATCTTTCAACGCTTTTTATCAAATACATTCCATTAACACCGCAAGTGAATATGTCCTATTGTAGTCGCCGTGTGGTATGATGTTTTGTAGGACAAATTACGGCATAGGAAGAAATTTGGCAATGTAGACTGGACCATTCACTAGCAGTTTAATCGGACATCAAGAGACAAAATGATACAACGACTATACGATTTTTAGACTAATAGACATTAGACACTATAGCAGAGCAGATCACATAGTTTAAGCAGTATGTTATTAAATTGCGGGATTAAACACCGCTGTACACTGGACATTCGAAGTTGCGGCCGTACGCCATTCGCGGTTTCGCCGGTACAACGCCAGCAATAAGCACTAATAGTGGTGAAGTGGACACGGCTGAGAGTATATTACCGTGGGGTCCGAGCTGACATAATGCGGTACACCGTCGGCCCTACATGAGAGAGCCACGAATCATCAAAAATGATCTCCGTAGGTGGATTTGGGAATATCTAGAGACCTCATAAAGACCACTATAACGATAGGAACATACGGATATAATCCGCTAGACCTCTAGCGATTAACAGGAGAAATTTGCATCTACTTAGGATGCCACTGGGCAAGCGAACATGGACACTGATTTCGGTGAAGGAATTTGGTCGACGAGTCCTATTAAGAGGGGCGCATAAAAGGCTGTATCAGCCGTATTCCATCGATGCCGATTTGATTGCAAATATTTAAGTAGTATACTATCCTGGGGTTCGGTAGGTGACATATTTTCTAAAATACATCCATAACAATATATACAACATGGGGTCATCTTATATTATTCCACCTGCGAGCAACAACGAATGTAAGTTACCACTGATTCATTCTTTGGATTTGCACGGTTATCACAGCACATTTCCACCGTTGTACCGGCCATCAGAAGTTCACGGCCTCACAAACCCAAAACCATTATCTGAGCCATTGACATACTATACACCCAACCAAAATCAGATTCCACCGGTTGGATATTTGTCACCAGGGTTTATTCCGCAGTCATATGGATGTCGCACCAACTACACTCCTGCCAATGTGACCGGCTACAACCCATTGCACAATGCTAGCAATCTGTCTAGTCAATTCTCGCATATAACACCCGCATCTTCGCCATCTCGTTCCAATTCATTCTCAAATGACGGGTTATCGACACTATACAACGTTGCTACAGCTTCCGATGATGCATTTGCTCGCGAGAGAAAGTCAAGTGAGTCGCTGGACTCACATAGTGACACCAAAAGCACCACTCCGGAAGTTGCGATTGCACACCGCGATTCCACAGTATCCACTAAAAGCTGCAAACCTAGAAAGAAGAGACAATGCCCCGAATGCAACTTGTTCTTCTCGAACTTGGCTACCCACAAATCTACGCATCTTAAACCTACGTCGAGACCTCACGTTTGTAAATACTGTAATCGAGGATTCGCCAGACCTAATGATTTATTCCGTCATACGAGATGCCACTGGAAGGAAGCAGGCTCCAACAAGGGACAGTTCAAATGTCCTTACAAAAACCACTCTACAGGAGACAATTGCTGCCATTCATCTGGTATATTTAGCCGTTGTGACACTTTCAAAAATCATCTTAAGGCAATTCACTTCCAGTATCCAAGTGGCACCAAAAAGGACCAGAGAAATAAAGTTAGTGGTAACTGTAGAATGTGCCACAAATTTTTTACAACCGTTGATGATTGGTTGATAAATCATGTTGAAAAGAATGAATGCCCATTTGGCAATTAGATTTAGTTCGTATTTGTATTTTTGTTGGGTTTGGGTAGGTATATGTAAAATAAACGGTATCATATGACAGTTAATTGTAGCTTCGCACTCGGTATGGAACCGATCAAAAATATGCTAAATTATTCAAAAATGTTTTATTGAAGATTATTTCCAGTGATTTTGTTCAATATGGTTCATACGGTCGCTAAATACTTGCTTGTAGCGTTTCTTGCTTCGACGTACAAAACGTTACCTTTCGCTTATGTCTTCAGATTTTACTATCGACTTATAGTTAACTTGGCAATACCCAGGAAGAGATATCTTTTGAATGGGAAGCAGAATACTTTCGGAATCACTGGAAAGACTAATAAGTTGGATTTGTTCGAGTACACCACTATGGAAACATATGTTTCTCCATTAGAACTTGATATGTACATGCACAAATCCAATTCTACTTATTCGATTGACTTGGACATTGCCAGAACAAACGTTGTCACCAAGGTTTTCCAAAGATTCTGGTATAAATACTACGACAATGAAAATAAGGAGTTCAAAGGAATATCGTTGTCAAATATGCCGTATGTGCCGGTTGCTTCTATTCAATGTATCTTTAAGAAGGAATTGAGGTTATACCAGAGATACAATGTGAAGAGTCAGATTTTTGCATGGGACGAAAAGTGGATATTTGTGTTGTCTAAATTTGTTTTGCCTGGATCGGAAAAGTTATGTTCTATTGCTATAACTAAATATGTTTTCAAAAAGAAACAAAGAATTACGATCAAACCCGAGGAGATAATTAAAGACTGTGGCTTGTGGAATGATGAAGTAGTCAAGGTCAACAAGAGGAATTACGATATGGTTAGGTATATGGCCTCGACCGAAGACTTAGAGAAAGCATGCGACCAATTTTAATTATGTAGATACGCTTATTTTATTAGAGATTTACAAGGTATAAAAGGATAAATAAATTAATATGTATTTTATTATTTCATATATAAAATCAACTTTGCAAAATCAAGCCAATCCAAACCCTTCATGACCTTCTGTTATAGCCAATAAAACAGATCCTCTTAATGTTTCATATGATTCATATGCTGGTAAATCTATTTGATTGAAACACGTATGTGACGATGGTAATCTATCAGTGGTCCCATAATCTCTATGGATGCTAAATTTACAAGTTCCACTAGCTCCACTCAACTCCTTGAAACCATTCAAAGGCACTTTCGAAGTACCCGTAGCAAACTGTAGCAATTTTGCTCTCTCCTCATTGTCAAATGATTTAACTGCTCTCCAGAACCATTGAATTTGTTCTGATGAAGGTGAATAATTATTATACGTAGAATTGTTTTGCCAATCCAAAACATCGATATCGGGCAATCCTGAGATCAATAATTCCAATTCTTGCTCATCAAATATAGAAACTAAATCTTTTGAAATAATCTCGTGGAATCCTAATAAAAAGTTGTCCATTTGTTCCGTGACCGAAGTTTGCAATCTGTATTGAACGACTAACTTGACATACTCATGTTTATTTTCTTCAGTTACGGCTATATCTCTTCCGTTAGGAATCAAGTCAATGATTTTATGTTCTCCATAATCATCAGTTTCAACTGAAAAATCTTCAGTGATAACATCAGTTATGTCATTTTCTAACATCCATACTAATGATTTAAAGTATTCAAGGTCTAGTGTTTCCATATCCTTTAACGAAACTGACTTACCTAAAATTCTCTTATAGACAGCTCTACTGAAGTGACAATCTAGAAAACTATTATCAAATATAGCTTTACCAATAATCTTACCAATGAACTTAAAGAACGATAAATGTTCTGGATTAATATATGATGTTCTATTCGGGTGGAATGTTGTTTCATCAGATGCCACAGGAGTAAATAACGCATAATCTGGATTAAACATTTGTCTCGATAAAACTTGGTACCATTCTCGAGTAACACCACCTGCATCAATTCCCGATTCACCTTTAAAATTGACTTCTAGCTTTGAGTTCTTAAACTCATCCTTCGGTTTGAAAAATAATGCTCTGTATGAGTCCAAGAATACTTGATCACGGCGAATGTTGATTGATAATTTAGCATTCTCATTTTTATTCTCATGTAACTTTCTATCAAAATAATTCTTCTTGTTATCAAATTCCAAGACCCCAGGATTTCTAACTAACATTCCAAAAGGCCCACTCATCAAGTTCGGATTAGTTCTGACCATTTGATTCAATATTTTCTTATGCTCATCTGTAAATGAAAAGAATAAACTTTCAATTGGTTCCTTTGTGAAATCAATTTTCTTAGCTTCATACTTAATAGCATCTTTGATATGAATTTCTTTAACTTTGCTATGTTTACAAACAACCATTAAAGCTTCAATCAAGGGTAATAATGCAGTAGCTATATTTGTCATGCCTTTTCTTTCTTCTAGAACTCTTAAGCAATCACTTAAGGCATCCCATAAAGTTCCCAATGCAAGTCGTTTATATAATCCTGTTAATTCTTCAATTTCATCGAGAGTCAATTTATTTTCCTTACCATCATGGATTGCTTTATAATCGGTTTTCTCGTCCTCAAAGCCTTTATCTTTTTCTTTTGATTCAAACATATAATCTAGTGCGGTTAAAATCCTGAGTAATTTTGCTTGGTCAGAACTTGAAGCACTGAACTTTGCAAATGACTTATTCTCTGTATTGTAGGTATCTGATTTGGCAATTTCTTTTGTCAAAACATTAAGATCACTAATAATAGTCTGTCCCAATTTCGTTGCCTGATCAGATAACTCTACGGAAAATACCTTTTGCGCATTAGGAAGCACAGATAGGTTCTGCATTGCACTGATGGTTCTTCTGAAAGTCGTATTAGGACAATCATTTGAAGTTAGTATTTTAATTATTTGTCGGAAATTATGATCAGGAATAACTGGAGGAGTAATAGGAGGAACCTTATTGTCTTCAACACTTTTGTTAGCGTTTTGCAAAGCATGAAGTGGCCTAGTTGCGATCTGTAAAACTCTTGCTAAGACATCCATAAAAGTTTGATCTTCCTTGATCAAATTATTTTCTAACAATCTAAGCAAAAGATTTATTGGGTATTTACTTTCTTTGCTTAACGATTCTTTTAATTTTGTTTTGCGATTTATCTTCTTCAAAATGTATGGGTTGTCATGCTCCGTCAAAAGATAATATCTCATATGAGTATTACGCTCTAATATATAGTGCACGACTTCAATTATTTGATTACCAATGATAATCGGTGAGCCACCGATAGGAAAGTGATTATTTTGACTTTCCGTATTAAATGTACTAGTTTTAGCTTTCAAGCAAACTTGTGAGTACACTTTTTCAATAGAGCGTTGGTTTATTAAACCGTCTTGAAGGATTGCGATTAAAAGGCCCATTATTTCAGCCCTGGATTGTTTACTTTTACACAAGTATTGTAATGCTTGATGGATATACTCTCTCTGATTAATAGGCAGAGGGATAAAAAGTAAACGAATTAATGCAGCTACACCAGATCTCTCAACCAAGGGTGTAAAGAAAACCTTTTTAGATTTTTTGGAAGATTCTGACGTAGAATCCCCAGCAACGGTTGATCTTCTTCTGTTTGAACCTGCACTGCCACTACTAGGTAAAACAAAAGGATTCGTACTTTCCCCTTCATCCTCATCTTCCAAATCTTCATCTTCATCTTCATCAACATCGGGATAGGTCATTTCATCTTCCAAAGTGGAGAATCTACGAGCCATTGATTCTTGTTGAAGAATTTCTTCTCTAATTTGCTCTGGAAGAGCATCGAGGAAGTCAGGATCAATTTCACGCGCATCTGCTCCCGTATTAGATGCATTTGCTCGTCTTTCTCTGACATGCTGAGTAAATACTTCATCACGCATATCATCTGGTAAAGCCTCGAAAAATTCTGGGTCTATGTCAGTTCCACTAATATCAACATCACGGTCACCAATACGAACCATAATAGGATCATGATTTACAGAGTTATTTGTTGCATTGAGTTCTCGTTCTCTTGCTTCCTCTTCACGCTTTAACCTTTCTTCTTCTTCCCTTTTGCGGATTTTTTCTTCTCTTTCTTTTCTAATTCGTTCAGCTTCTTCCTTCTTCAGCTTAAATATTTCGATACTTTCTTTTTCGATTCTATTAACAATATTAGGTATGATCTTCATAACAGCATCATCCTTCGACTTAGAGTAGAACATATTCAACGCATCTAACCAACGTTCCCTTGTGGACTTGATGTACATGCTATGTAATACATCATTATCGCGTTTGGACTTGGAGCCCATCAGTATAACGTTCCCAAAGGAACGTTCAAAACGAGTAGAATTTCCAGGACCACTTATATGTATAGTCCCTCTTAATAAGCCGTTATCATTATTTGCTGAGCTGAATAGACCTTCGAAAAGCGAAGCAATATTTGGTTGCCCCATAGCTGGACGTAAGGCATCAAAGAATGTGCTAGCAAAGTCCCTTGCACGTCTTCTTGAATCAGGCGCAATACCTAACCCATCTACTTCATCATCAACAACCGAATCATCTTCACTCATATTATCTTCCTCGTCTTCATCAGAATCTCCGGAATCCATAACCTCATATGCATCTCTAGAATGTTCAAGTCTATTCCTACGTAAGCTTTCAACACCACTTGGTATATCACCCTCTTCTACTTCCGCTTCATTTGAAGGAGCATTATCGCCTTCAAAAGCTTCAATCCAACCATCTAATTCTTCATCATCATAATCGCTGATTCCTTCTTCCTCGTCGTAATCATAAACTCCTGATTCATCCGACATTTCATCATTTATTGAACCTTCATCGGAATCGCTGTGAGAATGCATATCTAATTCGTCAATAATTTCAATATCATCATCTTCAATACTTGGGATATTGTCATCATCCATGGATTCATTTCCTTCGTAGCCTTCATCTATAGAAATATCATTGTCTTCGTCTTCCTCCATTTCAGACTCTAGTTCAGAAAGATGAGAAGAATCTTCTGAATCTTCTTCCGATATTTCTTCACCAGACATTAACACCTCCAAAGGATCCCCTTCGTCATAATAATCCATTTCTGAATCCTCACTCTCATGATCAACATCATACATCCCCAAAGTGGAGTTACGGAACAAATCAGGTGTTTCATCTCTATCATCAACGTCTTCTGGTACTATATCATCATCTTCCTTATCACCTTGGTGTTCGTCTTCAAAAACATCTTGAAATTCACTTTTAATCTTGCCCAATAAAGTAAGTGGTTTAATACCAAGCTTAATGACACGATTAATTTCAGGGAAATTAACATCAAACTCGGAGATAATTCCAGTGAGCTGAGAAGGTATTTGCTTATCGATAAGTGCTTTAGCTATATAATACTGATCATACTTCGTTGCATTTTTATTCAATAAAGGTCCTGTTAAATCACGGAACTTTTGAGTTATCATACAGCCACACAAATCAAATAAATCAATAAGCTTTCCATAGCGAATGTTAGCGACACTTGGGGCACTAGCTGTTTCCTTTAGAATCTTCAGAAGAATATCAACATAAAATTTCCTAATAAAAGCCATATCAATATCTTCCTTCTTTGGGTCTGGTGAATTGTCTTCATTCAAAATGGGTGTGGATACTAACGCTAAAACTGCAAGCTTAGAAAGCGACGAAATAGCAGAACGTCTCTCAAACTCAATACCACTAGATTTAATGAGCAGTCTAGTTGGTATCAATTGATGTAGTAAAAAGTTCAAAGCGGTGGAGCGAGGTTTCAAATTTTCGTTTTGATTTTTCTTAGAAAACGTTAAAAATTCAAGTTTCGATTGTTTATAAGAACCAAGCAATTCGGTAATTGTTTGCAATAAGAAGGACGCATAAGCAAAATCTGTATTTTTGAACACATCGGTCGTTGAGTCCTTTGCTGTCTTCTCATCGTCTGTAGATTGTGGTTCAGACACCCAATCTTTCTTACTAACTTCCATCAATTCAGTCAAGAGTGTATGGATAATACCTGTGGAGTTAATGGTACGTTGCAGTCCCAGGTTATCTACTTCTTTTGAAGCTTCTACATCTTCCATATCCATATCTTCATTACTTTTGTCATGCTTCTTACGAAAAACAGTTAGCTTTGACGGGTAAACATCCCCACCATCATAATTGTCTAACCTTACATCCTGTGAGAAGACATCCACATATAACCCTGGGTCACGCAACACAACTGACGCAGTCTCTTTCAAGACAGATTGAAGGTCACGTTTGCCTCTGATACTTCCCTTGAACACGGTCGAAAGCTCAACTGACATATTAACTCTCAAAACTTCGGTTGTTTCAAAACATCTTCTTATAAGAACGACAAGTGCTGCTTGGTAAATATCGTATTTATCTGATGCACTTTTCATGAAATCACTAGCTAAAGAAATAAGCGTTTTAAGTAATTTAGAGTTTACGAGCATAGTTGAGCATTCTTCGTCTTTGACTAACAATATCATAATTCTTGCAATCCCAATCGCAGATTTAATCTCGTGAATTTCATCCAATTTGATAAGACTGTCGAATACTCTCCGTTTCAATTCATCATCAATCAAAAATGGAACAGTATCATTTTGAGGAGATAGGCGTTCATGTGGACTCTTCTCAGACTCAGGAAAATCGTTGTAATACATCACTTGTTCAAGGATATACAACCCATAGGAGATATAGTCCTTGTCTACATCCTTTGGGTTACTTTCAAGCTCATCAATCATAAAACGTGTAAACCTCGAAATAGTCTCCTTGTTTGAATATACCACCTTTTCATCCTTGAGAATAATCCCGAACAAATGAATAGCGACACCTAAATCCGAGTTTTTATTTTTCTTCACTTCTACCAAGTCAAAAATATAATAAGCAAGCTTGCTCGAAATATCTGAAGGATCTGAATACGAAGAAAGAAGCATATCCGCGATGGACTCAATTGCCTTATGATAGTTGCAGGCAACTTTGAACCAGCAATCAGTAAAATGATCGAATTCATGCAATCTAGCTGTCTTAAGATGAGAACCGGGTTTAAATGTTGGAAGTTCCTGTTTAAAGCTCACCCTTCCAGAATGGATATCTTGTACAATACTTTCCCATACCTCTTTGTCGACATCTAATTGCGAACAATCTGGTACTTCATTACTACTTATCTCATTCAAACTCACAGTATGCTTAAAAAAATGTTCAGCTTGTGAAGGTGATATTCCCTTCGATGTTAAGTATTGAACTTGTGACAACGGTGGAGACACATTATCCACTATCAAAGGAACAAAAGGTATGTCAGAAACTTCTTTTGTTGCCATCCAAACATGTTTTGCAATGTAAACAAGTTGCTCAATTAGCGGAGATGGGACATTCTCGGTTGTAGCTATATCTGATTGGTTGAAAATTATGGATTCCGAACCAACCGTGCTCCGTATTAACTCAAGGGCAATGATTCTAGACTGAACCAAGAAAGCTGAGACTAGAAATGATTCTGGATCTTTTTCAAGCCCTTCATGATAAAATAATTTTGTTGCCGGTAAATTTGGAACAACATCACTATTAACGATCTTAGCAAAAATCATGAGAATCTGACTTAACACGTTTTTAGTAATACTACTTTCAGAAGTGCTGATATATTTTAAATCATTAGTCTTTGCAACTTCTTGAGGGTCTAACTGTAATAGCTTATTCCAGAAGCCAATTGCCAATTCTTTTAATTTTTCGATAAAGCCGTTTTGCAAAAGAGAAATAGCTAAACTTGTTTGTATCACATCTTTGTTTACCCTTTCTTTTTGGCTTAGGCAGTATAAACCAATATTTACTAACACCAAAAAGTAACTTGATTTATATTCTTCATTAGAAATATCAGTCGTAATCAAAGTCTCAAATATTTTTCCAATTTCAACAGTGATTCTCACTGCATCCCTTCGCCATGCAGCATCAATGAATTCTTGTCTCTTATGCATGCAAACACGGCCCAAGCAGCAGAAAACTGTTGATATGTAGTTCTGGAAACGATACGCAAAAAATCTTATCTGCAATGAGTTCTTGAACTTTGCACTCGTGCCATCTTGTTTCTCTTGCTTCTTAGAAGGTTCTGCTGCATATATTTGGATTGGGGGAAATTCGCTGCTACTGTCAAAGATAGCACCCGATTGCTTGGCGACAGTATCTGGCATAGTAGAACGCAAAATAATCTCTTCGAGCATACATCTCCTTAGAAGTAAACCAAAATCTGATAATAATCTTAGACCACTTCCGTCTGCTGATTTTCCATTTCCAAATAATTCTGCAATTTGGTGATACCTTTCGTGAAACATGAGACCTGGGTTGATATAAATCTCTGTAAACGTGTAAAATAAAGTGTTAAGAGAATTTAATTCCTTTAAAAAGTGCGTACCCGCTTCTTCATTGTTTTCAAATTTGCTGAAGAAAGAAATATCTGTACTTTTGAAGTGAATAAATTCCTGAATAAGAGGGGATTCAACTTGCTTTTTCAAAATTTCAAATGCAAGAGGTAAACCATAATCTCTATTTTCGTCATCAAAATATTTTAAGACACCCATTAACGTTGAGAAACCATTAGATGTTGTGTAATCAAATGGAGCATTCGACAAAGTCATAAATGAAGCCCAAGATTCATAAGGTATTAATTTCATTGCTTCGTTTCCCCACTGTCCACTATCTTGTAATAATCCACCCAAGAAGAAGAAAACGTTGTCAGCTAAATATGCAGCATCAGTTGTTTCCCAAACTTCTATCTCTTTGGACCCATCTTCATTGTCAATAATCTCCTCATCTTTATTGCGGTATAATGATCCTTTATCTGATGTATAGAAACGAATACCATTCAATTTGCTATTGACGAAATCAGGAACGTTTTTAACTAATTTCTTGATCTCTTCCATAATAATTGGCTTCAATGGGGTATAATGTCTTCCCAATTCGTCAAATGAGCAACCTAAATTTGTGGTCATATCTGATCTAACCAATTCCTTTGCATAATCAAGGTTATAAAATGATTGAAAGTATTTACCAATAGTATTGTGATTCATAACCTTATCTAAACCATCATTATTCAAACAAATAGCACCAATAACTTCAGCTAAGGACATCAACAAATCATTTGATGGAAGAAATAAATCTTCAAAATTATCTAAAATGGTATCTATCACCTTAGCTTCATTCAAAATCGAGAACGCGGTTGGCTCATTATGAATTATATAAAAGACCGAGTCAATAGTCGCAGACAATATCAATGGACCAAAAGTTTTAGGATTGAGAAGAATTTGGTTAAAGCTTTCTAATAAAGGAGAATCAAAAAGGTTACGTAATCTATCACCAGGCTCTGATTGAATTAAATGTGAAACTAATTTCATTAGATTTCGAATATAATTAGCTTGTCGGAAGGTAATATTGTAATAAACAAGAGACTCCTTCGGTGGACCACCTCCATAATTAGGATTCTCTAATGCAAAATTGACTTCGTATTTAATTGTATCAATAAGTAATTGAAATCCATTATTAGCTACAAAATCATCGAATGACTCTGGAGATGCACTTAAAAATACTGTTGTTAAATGAACTGCAGCTGAACACGACCATCTATACTTAGATTTGACGTTGAAGAATGATAATAAATCATTTAAAATACCACCAGCTGTTAGTCTAGGAGTTAAACTTTTTGAATCTATTAAATTTCCCAACATATTAAAAAAGTGCACGTAAGCCAATTCAAAGCAATCGTCATCTTCGACCCTAATCTTTCTATTGATATGTCTTATACATTGAAATAAAATTCCATGGTTCACATTCCCACCCATACATCGGATGATATCACTTCCCCATACTCTTTTCAAGGAAATGCACTCTAAGGCTTTCGTAGCTGTGAAATAAACGTCCCTTGAAACGTCTGCAGAATTTTCAGGTTGGATTAAATCGATTAAGAAGCTGAAAATATATGGTTCAGATTCAAAGAATCTTGATGCAGTAAATTCGCTTGGACACATACAGCATATGAAGGCGATAGCCAAGCATTTTGCACGAAGTAACTTTTCACGTAATTCAATTGAGTCATATGATTTGGTATTAAAAGACTTGACGACAGGCGCAACAAGACCGAATTCAAACCAATATTCTTTAGGGATAGTTTCAGAAGCCTTGTCAAATATTTGTTCTAAAGACAACTTACGTACAGTTTCTTCCGACAAACTAAAACTTGTAACACCTTCTTTTGGAACTATTTTTTCTTCATTATCTGTCTTTGATAATTTATTCGAATTGGATTTTGACTTAGGCCTTTTTGCCCCTTTATTCTTTAATTCTTCTTTTCCACTTTTAGCAGATTCACTCTTGGTATGTATATTTTGTGTTTGAGGTGTATAGGCCTTATAGTATTGAAAATTAAGGTGTTTCCATTTCGATGGGTATTTTCTTTTCGTAGTAATAGAATCAATTAGACTATAATGGTCACCCAATACAGTATCCTTGTCCTCTTTACTTATATTTTCCTCCTCTTCAACTTTACGGTGAAAATTAGGTGGCACTGGAAGTGGGTAAGATTTTGCGATCTGTAATACTTTCATTTTGACCGGCTTTGGGGCGGAATATTTATTCGAGCTAGTCTGAACATATCTCTCTGATATTGAAACACCAACCTCCAAGGCGCTCAATCTGACATCAACCGTTGGTGAATTTATCAACTGAAAGATTCTTTCACCACTTGAATAGATTGATCTATTCGCACAGTGTTCAAGTAAAAGATGCGTAAATTGCAAGCATGCCACGAGCAATTCTTGATCCTTCTTATCCATTTCCTGCAATTTGGGATGCTCCTGGTCTAGTTCATACTTCTTAACTTGGGTTTCAAATATTTCATCAAACCTATTCAAGGCTGGCACCCAATGAAATAAATCGCCCCTTGGTCTTTCCCAAGACAAATTTTGTTTCAATTTATGTGGTAATTCTTCTAAAGGGCAACTCTTAATATCATCAATCAAAGATTTCAATGGCTTTGCCATTTCCATTTTCTCTAAGTGATTCCGCTTAGAAATAATCATTGTGTAAGGTATGTATTATTAACACTTCAGGCTCAAGAAAGTAAATTGTTCAATTTTATTTAAGCTATCAATTACAAATTGGAGACTTCAATTGTTAATATAATCCTTCTTAAGACTGTTCTTATGTTTATGTATGATTGATGTATGATTTGCTTACGAAAAACTGATTTTATAAGTAGTTCTTGCTATTTTTGCTCGAAACTCCTGGTTCAAACACACTGATAGTATACAGGGCAAGTGATGAGTCTAACAAGAATAGAATATGTTTACTATAATGATAAGAGGACTATAACAGTAATGTCTTACAGGAAGAGACCATTTGAAAAGAATGGGAATGGAGAAAGTAAGCGAATAAAAGAACTGAGTTCTAGTGACACAACGGATGCAATTGCAAGAGCTAAAGCAAGATTACTAGAAAAGAACAAAAACAGTACTGCTGAACAGACAGGTCATAGAAGTAGTAATAATCCACAGAAGGTAGAGACTTTGTCTTCGAAGATAGATTTGGCTAAAAAGCGATTAAAAAACCAAAACTCAGAAAGAGAAAGAGAAGAGAGAGAGGGTAGAGGTGGGCTTAATGTGGAAATTCATCCGTTATTACGAAGTAATGCTCCAGCACGTACATTACCTAAAAATCATAATCCGTTGAAGCAAAATGTTAAAAAGTGGTTTGATCCTACGGCGATCAATCCATATTTGAATCAAGATGATATGTCGGGGCCAATTAGGGCACAACATAGACCAAGAGCATTACAATTCAACGAACAGGGGAAGTATATTGCAAAAGGAAATGAATTAAGAGACAAATTGAAAAAGGAGCAAGAAGAAAGGGTCAAATATCAAGAAACTGAAGAAAAGGGATTGACAGCTGATGAAAACTTAGGGGAGCATTTATACAAACAGCAATATCCGCCGGTTGTTGAATGGTGGGATAGACCGTATTTGAAAGACCGTAATTACAATAGCATTACAGACGAATCACGTCTCATATATGACAACGAAATCGCTCCCATTTCGATATATATACAGCATCCTGTGTTGATACCGCCCCCTTGGGAAAGACATATGCCAGATGCGAAACCAATGTATCTAACGAAGAAAGAATTGAAGAGAATAAGACGAAATGATAGACATGAAAAACAAAAGGACAAGGAAGATCGTATAAAGTTAGGGTTGGATCCTCCTCCCCCACCGAAAGTGAAATTATCAAATCTAATGAACGTATTGACCAACGAAGCTATTAAAGACCCTACAGCGGTGGAAATGAAAGTTCGAGAAGAAGTCGAGGAAAGACATTCAAAGCATATGCAAGAAAATGAAGAACGGAAGTTGACTAAAGAAGAAAGACTTGCAAAAATTCAAAAACAGCACGAAAAGGATCTTGAAAAGGGGTATTATACCACCATATTCAAGATCGATAAGCTTTCGAATCCCAGACACTTCTACAAAATTGATATCAATGCTAAGCAATTGGAATTATATGGAATATGTTTGTTAAATCCCAAATTCAATTTGATTATTGTGGAAGGTGGAGCTAAAAGCATCAAGTTCTACAAAAAACTATTGACCCAGAGGATCGATTGGACTGAGAACATTGTTCCAAAGGTATCGGATGATCTGAATGCCCCTGATATATCACCAGAACAAATAGATGATCTCTCCGATAATAAATGTCTGCTTTTGTGGGAAGGGCAAATCAAAGATATAAAATTTAAGAAGTGGTCGATAATGAGAACTTCCAATGATGATGAAGTATTTGACGTTCTCAATAGGTTTGGTGTAATAAACTATTGGCGTGAGGCTCTAGTTATAGATAATTAACATAGTATATAGTGTATTATATCTATTCCATGGTGTAAGAGAGATATTGATTATGTAAGATATTATATACAAACTGGATCTCGGGATTGCTTAGACTAAGGTTATTGGTAGTTGAAGCTTAACTGTTCTTCAGTTCTTCACCACTATTGAATTATTATATTTCAAGCCAAATACGTCTACGAAATTAATAAAATGGGTGCTGCTTACACTATATTCGGGAGACAAGTCCCATCTCATATTGTATGTATTAAGGTAGCGATTGCGGGTTGAAATCGAGAGTGAATAAGTACTGGAAGTATCCATAGCTTTGATCAATAAATTAACGATAAAGAGGACCATGAATTCAATTTCCTTTACTCTTATAGAATATTGATTGACTAACCGAAACAGCTTTCTATTGCCACTTTAGGTGCTGCTGCAGCTGTTGTTGCATGGCCTCGTGCTAAGAAGGAAACTCCACCAGCCCAAGCTGCTCCTGTTGCCCAAACCAAAGAAGAAGACTTTGACTTGGAGAAATTCTTAAAGTATGTATACATTAATATAATTAATTAATGTAGTGGTTCATCTACTAACTTGATATAGCGATTTGACCAAGGAAGAATCAAAATGATTCTCGAGCACGATTTATATGATATATACTTAAAATAGAATAGAATACTATTGCTTATATTCTTCTCCGTGTAATTCAATTACATGTAGCATCCGAGCTAGGCTGTAGTATGTGTTGGTTCAATGTATCTCTAGTGACTTGTTCTCCAGATGTCGAGCCTATCATGGGGCAGGAACTTGAGTGTACTGATGCTCTTTCTGGTGTATGGATCGTAACTCAATTGGATGTCTTGGTGTATGGATCTTTTTGTTCGGCCGAAACAGCTCTAAACGGCTATCACCAGAGTGATCTACAGAAGCACTATTAATGTACATATCGAGGTCTCCTTATAAATGGTCTGTATTCTGTATGTCTAATATCGTCTTCTACTCATACGCTCCTGGTCGTATCGGGCTATACCCACTCCGAGACCCCCATCAATCTAGAGTTTTCGAGTTCTGAACCCTTCTATATATATTGACCCCGTCTTCGGTGTTGATTCTATAGTGAGCAACCCCAGTTTCATTCGCTCCTACCCGTCCACGTCGACTCTACAGACTAACCAGCTAGTGCTTTCCCGAGTATCTTCTGCAATTCCGATGCGTCGTTCTCTGGTTAATTATATTTCTAACGCGTTTTGTTACTCTTAATTGACGTTTAGTAAACAAACCACCATCAAATCGAGATAATTGTGAAATCGCTGCTGCTAATATACACTATCGGGGTTGTTACGCCCGCAGAATCAAAATCTTAACTATAGGAACTATGAAGGATCTATTCAAAAGAGCGTCTTCCAAACGCGCGAATTATTTTTGTGCTTTGTTTGTTTTCATTCTGGTGATGACAAATTAAATTTGCTGGCGAGACGCGTTTCGAGTATTTAATCAGCCAAAATCCGCCCAAATAAAAGATTTTGATGAAAAGAATCAACACTTCTCGTTTGAAAGATCTTAGTATTATTTATTAACGAAGAAGAATAATTAATAATGTATGTTTATAAAAGAGATGGACGTAAGGAGCCAGTCCGCTTTGACAAGATCACTGCTAGAGTTCAAAGATTGTGCTATGGGTTAGACAGTGCACACGTCGAGCCAGTTGCTATCACACAAAGAGTTATTTCTGGGGTTTACCAAGGGGTTAACACCATTGAGTTGGACAACTTGGCCGCTGAAACTGCCGCTTATATGACCACGATCCACCCTGACTACGCTATATTGGCAGCCAGAATCGCCGTTTCCAACTTGCACAAACAAACCACCAAGCAATTTTCTCAGGTCAGTAAGGAGTTGTACGAATACGTGAATCCAAAGACAGATTTGCACTCGCCTATGATTTCCAAAGACACGTACGATATTATTCAAGCCAATGCAAATGAGTTGAACTCCGCCATTGTGTTTGACCGTGATTTCAATTACAACTATTTTGGATTCAAGACCTTGGAAAGATCGTATTTGTTGAGAATCAACGGTAAAGTTGCAGAGAGACCACAACATTTGATTATGAGAGTCGCTGTCGGGATCCATGGTAATGACATCGAAAGAGTTATCGAATCTTACAACATGATGTCCTTAAGATATTTCACGCACGGATCTCCAACGTTATTTAATGCTGGTACTCCTAGCCCACAAATGTCTTCATGTTTCTTGGTTGCCATGAAGGATGATTCTATAGATGGTATCTACGATACCTTGAAGACGTGTGCTTTGATCTCTAAGAGTGCTGGTGGTATTGGTTTACACATTCACAACATCCGTTCTACTGGTGCTTACATTGCGGGTACCAATGGTACTTCAAACGGTATTATTCCTATGGTTCGTGTTTTTAACAACACCGCTCGTTATGTCGATCAAGGTGGTAACAAGAGACCGGGTGCCTTTGCTCTTTACTTAGAACCTTGGCACGCAGATATTTTCGACTTCATAGATATCAGAAAGAATCACGGAAAAGAAGAAATTAGAGCTAGAGATTTGTTCCCTGCCTTATGGATTCCTGATTTATTCATGAAGAGAGTTGAACAAAACGGTGACTGGACTTTGTTCTCTCCAAATGAAGCAAAAGGCTTATCAGACGTCTACGGTGATGAATTCGAAGAATTATACACCAAATATGAAAAGGAAAATCGTGGTAGATCTGTTGTTAAAGCACAAAAATTATGGTACGCCATTTTAGATGCACAAACTGAAACTGGTACTCCATTCATGTTATACAAAGATGCTTGTAACAAAAAGACAAACCAAAAGAACTTAGGTATTATAAAATCTTCTAACTTGTGTTGTGAAATTGTTGAGTACTCTGCTCCTGATGAAGTAGCTGTTTGTAACTTGGCCTCCATTGCTTTACCAGCATTTGTTGATAAAGACAACACCACCAGTTGGTACGATTTTGAAAAGTTGCATGAAGTCACTAAAGTTGTGACTCGTAACTTAAACAGAATTATTGACCGTAACTACTACCCAGTTCCGGAGGCTAGAAACTCGAATATGAGAAATAGACCAATAGCTTTAGGTGTCCAAGGTTTAGCAGATGCATTTATGGCATTAAGATTACCATTCGACTCTCAAGAAGCTAAGGAATTAAACACTCAAATTTTCGAAACAATCTATCACGGTGCTGTCGAAGCATCCATTGAATTGGCTGAAGTTGAAGGACCATACCAAACTTATGAAGGGTCTCCAGCTTCTAAGGGTATTTTACAATTTGATTTATGGGAAAGAAAGCCAACTGAATTATGGGACTGGGATTCTTTGAAACAAAAGTTAGCTAAGCATGGTCTCAGAAATTCCTTGTTAGTTGCTCCAATGCCAACTGCGTCAACCTCTCAAATCTTGGGTTACAATGAATGTTTTGAACCATATACTTCAAATATTTACTCCAGAAGAGTTTTGGCTGGTGAATTCCAAATTGTTAACCCATACTTATTACGTGATTTGGTTGATTTAGGTATTTGGAATGATGATATGAAAAATAACATCATCTCCAATAACGGTTCTATTCAAACCTTACCTAACATTCCAGATGAATTAAAGGCTTTATATAAAACTGTTTGGGAAATTTCCCAAAAGCATATTATTGACATGGCTGCAGACAGAGCTGCATTCATTGATCAATCACAATCTTTAAATATTCACATCAAGGACCCAACTATGGGTAAATTAACCTCAATGCATTTCTATGGTTGGAAGAAAGGTTTGAAGACAGGTATGTACTACTTAAGAACTCAAGCTGCTGCTGCTGCCATTCAGTTTACTGTCGACCAAAATTCGGTTAATAATGCTTCTAAGACTATTGCTTCATTAGAGAAATTAAACCAAAGAAAATATATTGCTAAGCCAATTTCTAGCACTAACGACTCAGGTGTCTCTACTGAGCCAACATCGTTAGAAAATTCTGTTGCTGATTTAAAAATTTCAGATGACTCGAATACCCCTAAGAACGACAAACCAGCTGAATCAACTGAATCGACTGAATCGACTGAACCAGCTGAAGGCCAAGATGCTGGTGATATCTACAGTTCAAAGGTTATTGCATGTGCTATTGATAATCCAGAATCGTGTACTATGTGTTCTGGTTAAGCCACATTAGGTATAGTACACTTTACCATTTTTGTATATTACTATGTTTCTTATTTAATTATTGTTTAAAGTTTGTTGTTGGGTAATAATTTTTTTTAATTAGTTTTAACGTTTTATATATCACAGGTAGCTTTATGCCACCTTAATAAATAAAGTATAAAAATATATTGTATCTTCTATCTAGATAGACGACATCGTAGAGATGCCGATAGTTGCGACAAAATAACCGTTTTTTATCTACGGAATTTTCTTCTAAATAATATTTCGATAAATACCCATTAATCATCATATATATTCGATAACCGTATCATTCGTCAAATGTACAATTTGAAAAGTATTCATTGTTCTAATAATAATTAAATATAACGCATACGGCCATATCCCACAAATAGAGAATAGATTTTCATGACGCAGATAACAAACCATGAAATATCTGGAGCCACAAATGAAGATATAGTCCTAGATACATTTCTGGATAATCGTTCAACTATGGATTCGGATGACGATAGTTCAGATCCAATTCGAATAATCGATCAGGATACTGAATTTTTTTTTGATGATTCGATCAAAGGAAAAGTGAAGAGATTTTTTTATAAACTATGGAATGGTCCTACCGTTCCAGAAGACAACCCACCACGCCGGATTCAATTATTTTTGAAGATAGAGGAATTTCCTGAAAGATTCAATAAAGGTATTTCGAAGGCTCTCCGAATCACAGGACTCATATTATACTTATGTCTTTGGTTTTTAGTGTGCTATCGCATTTTGCTTCCATATATGACTATTCCGCCAGGTATGTCAAATAATCCAGACGTGACTGTGATCCCACTATCATGCCAATCACAATCTCACTTTTGGAGAGGTAAAAATGCTGCGTGTGGATTAAATGGTGAATTATGCCCTTCATTCGATGGAGATAAAAAAGAGATAATATTTAGGTGCCCAGCACTTTGTGATAGGAGCAGCTGGACTTATTCCTTGATTCCTATTGGTGACCAACGTATTAAATATAGAGGGTATTTCGTAGGTGGCGGTGAAGATCCTGATTCGCATGCTGAAATATTAACAAAACCATATAGAGCAGATTCGTACCCATGTGGTGCAGCTGTCCATGCTGGCGTTGTATCGCCATTTTTTGGCGGGTGTGCCAGAATATCATACTCAAGTAATGGTGAGCTGTATTTTCCTTCTGCTTCCGGTCGTTATGGAGTTGGTGATTCTATCCCATTCTTATCATTTTTTCAATCGTCGTATTTTTTTAAGAAATTAGTGAGTGGTGCTGATAGTTCTGGTGGCTTTTCTCATTGTTATGATCCGAGACTATTAGTGTTGGTTATTAATATTATTTTAGGTCTACCAATTGTCTATTTGGCAAGTGGAGCAACCATGTTTTGGATCATAAATTTCGTTGGGTTTTGGACGATATGCTTAGCCACCGATCCACCATATACGGTAAATGCCAGTGACCATGATAGTTTCGCAAATTTACTTTCAATTGGTCTAGAGAGATTTTTACCGTCCTCGTTCATTTTGTACGTCTTGTGGCATTCATCTGCTAAAAGAACGTTGTCTGATCCACCACCAGAGATAAACGCAAAGCCATCACCGTTAAGTAGGCTCATTTTATGGTATCCGCTCTTCTGGCTTGGAGTTTTAAATAATATTACGTTTGACAGATTACCAGTGGATAGATTGACCATTCTGGATCTCAAGGAACAAGCGGGAGCTTTAATAGCGGTGACATCTATCATAACTAGCATAGTCACATGTGCCGTTATACAAGCCTACAAGATCTGGCTATCTGGTAGGTTTAGAAAATATTTGGTTATTTATGTTTCCTTCGTTCTTGGATTAGTTTTTCTTGGACAATTACCTGGTTTAACATTACGTATACATCATTACATATTGGCAATGCTTCTAATTCCTGGTTGTGCAACAAGGGGAAGAACAGCATTAGCATTCCAAGGCATTTTATTAGGATTATTTCTTTCGGGATCTTCAAGGTGGGGTTTAGCTTCAATTGCTGAAACTGTAGATTCCTTGAAAAGAGATGATCCAAGAGGAAAGATTCTTCCTCCTGAATTTACTGGATTCAATTTCACTTCTGGGATTTTGAACTGGAAATTCGCTGATGATTCATCGATGAGTTCGATAGAAAAGACAATAAATAGTAAATTCAACGGAGTGTCTTTACTTATAAACGATATCGAACGTTACGTTGACAAACGAGTAGAATCGTTGAACTTGATAGATTTATTTAAAAAATCAACTGATTTAAAGGACTCTATAAAGAATGCCTTAAAGCAGGGCTATAAAGATAAAGACGGAAATATTCTCATATATCTACGGATTGGAAAAAAGGTGTTAGGAAGTGAAGTTTATAGCGATTACTCTAATGCTGGTATACTTAAATGGCCGAGTGGCGAATTTACTAAACCCCAACCTGGTGTTACTTAAATATCATAATTACTATATTATATATGATGATAGACATATTCTTCGCAACAACTTTATGGATCATGTGATCTTTGTAAAATTCTAGCTGCTAATATTTTCAAGCTTTTGATACGATTACTAGTAAACATAGATCATCACCACAAGCGATGCTAAATACAGTAAGATTACAAATGTACTCTATATCTGCTTCTAATAAATTTCGTTTTATTGGATCCAGGTTATGGACTTATAGACGATGCTATTCTACAAACAATTCACCTTCCAACAATATTTCAAAACCGCAAGTGAAATGGTTCTATGCTACAGATATTCCCAATTCCAAGCCTACTTGGCATAATTACACCAAGACGAAGGAACCAAGAAAGTTCATTCCCTTCTCGGATTACGATTCGACCAGATTAGAAAAACGATATCAAGAATATAATTCTGATACAAAGCAAATAGATAATAAAGAACTGCTTAACCATAATCATGGATTAGTTGAAGTCAATGAGGATAAGCTCTTCCAGGTCGATTTGAAAAAATTTGATTTATCCCCTGTATACTGGGATGGGCCAGTTTATGAAGTTCGTCGTGGTACTTGGTTCAACTCTGATGGTATTCCATTAGGTGCGAAGTTGTCTCAGCAAATTGAAGAAGGGTATCGCTACAGAAAGGCGTTTACGTTTGGAGAGAAAGGACCTAGCGAAAACCAAGTTGCAGAATCAAAAGATAAGGTCGCTAAGTTTAATAAAAAGGTGGAAAAGGAAGGAAAACCTGAAATGGCACTCGAGATTGATTTTGAGAAAGAAAAGGATACGTTTGGTTTAGATAACGACCAGGTAGTCTTATTCTGTAACGCAAAGGAAGCAGTATTATTTCCGTCGTCTTTTGATAGCAAGTTTCAACTTGGTGTAATTCGTAGCTTTGGAACAAGTTCTGGCTCTTTGATATCCGTTGAAAAAATACAGCGTGGTTATACGGATGATCTACATGAAACCGTGTTCGATAATTTAACTACAAATCCTATTCCTGGCTTAACTGATTTCTTCCAAAATGAGATTACTAATGCCTTCCATCCAAATGATACTGAAGCTGAGAAAAAAGCAGGTACTAAAGAGGAACCCGAAAACACAATAGCCGACCAAGACAAGCAAATGAAACATATGCTTGAATCAGATTTTGATCATGATACTACTTCATTGGGTTCCGAGAGAGAAGTTGATCATCTTGTATTATGTATTCATGGAATCGGTCAAATATTAGGGCACAAGTATGAATCTGTTAACTTTGTTCATAGTATTAACGTTCTTAGAAATACTATGAAGGAAGTCTATCAAAATGATAGAGGCTACCAAGAGATTGCCTATCCTGAACTTAAACAGAGCGATGAAAATAAGAATACAAATAATAGGATCCAAATCTTGCCTATATCTTGGAGACATAAAATTGACTTCCATCCTCAGAAAAGTTTAGAATCCTATGATGAGAATGGTAAATTAAGGTTACCAAGTTTAGCCCAAATAAGTGTTGATGGTGTTAAATCGCTTAGAAATATTTTAGGTGATGTTGTCTTGGATATTTTACTCTATTATGAGCCAAAATATATAAATCAAATTACAAAAGTCGTCACAGAGGAACTCAATCGTGTTTATGCCCTTTATATGGAAAAAAATCCTAGTTTTAAAGGGAAAGTGCACATTATGGGTCATTCATTAGGATCTGTCATCTCATTTGATATTTTAAGTTCACAATCCAATGATGAACCTAAACAAGCCAACCTGGAAAAGGACTTAATGTTTAACGTTGACGATTTATTTTGTGTTGGTTCACCTGTTGGTATGTTCAAGTTATTGGGACAAACTAATATAAAGCCACGTTCACTTCTACCAAGCGATTTTGATGCAAGCCAAAAGAATACATTTGCTTCCCCAAAGTGTTCTAATTTGTATAATATTTTTCACCCCTGTGATCCTATAGGATACAGGATGGAGCCATTAATTAATCCTGAATTTTCGAACTTCAAACCTGAATTGGTCCCATTCGCTGTTAAAGGCTTGAACACACAAATAAAGGAATTGGCACACTTAAGCGAAGAAATTCAAGAGAAATTATTACGTGCCTCGAGTTGGTTTAACAGGGGAAATAATACTGATAAGAATAAAACAGAAGAAGTTAAGAGCATAGAAGAGAAAGCATCAGAAGAGAATGCTCTAGATGATATTTTATTAAGTCTAGCAAAATCTGATAAGAAAGATGATAATAAAAGAAAACCTAGGAAGACAGAGATGATGAACAACGAGGATTTGGCTACTTTGACTGAAATTAATAAGAATGGAAGAGTTGATTACAGCTTGCCTATGGGCGTTTTTGATTTCTCTTTAGTGTCTGCGATTAGTGCACATATCTCCTATTTCGAAGATAAGGACACTGCAGGGTTTATAATGAAGCAGTTATTACTATCAAGATCTACCCCAGTCGAGTCAAAATCTATCTCCTTATATAACTAATTATCGAAGCTTGATTGTATTTAATAATTTCTTATAAAGTAATGTACATTAGATATTTATTCTATTAATAAGTCGTCAATACTTTGTTCTGCATCGTGCTTAATTAGTTCTAACATTCCTTGTGGTAATATTGGAGCACCATCTTTACCAACGATATATCTGAACGGCATTTCTGTAGCTTCGTATTTATTATATCTTATTTCTGGGTAGTCTAAAAACTCAATATTTTCAAACTTAACTTGATCTTTAACAATTTTCTGGGTAGTTCTGATAGCCGTATCAGTTGTCATCTGCAAACTTCCTAACCTCCTACCAGCTAATCCGTACTTCTTTCTCAAGATTCCTGTTCTATCAATTCTAGGATGAGAACCTAAAATTCCCCCAAATACAAAATAATCAAATTCTTCATTATCTTCTGGCACTAAGTCAACTTCAGCTGCTGGATCTAATAAACAAATCTTGGATTTTTCGATATTACCACCACCTATATCTATGCATTCTTTTGTAGTCCATTCCAATCCTAATTCTATGAGTCTAGATGGAATATCTTTTTCAGTGGTTGAAGAAGGTAACGAAGTCAATATCAAATTTTCTTTGCCTACTTCTCTAATTATTTGAGAATATTCCAATATAACCCATTCGGAGAAGCCTTCCTCCATATGTTCTATCACGTACTTCATGATTGTTCTGATTAGTATTATATGATTTCAATACTAATTTTTTTTTTTTTTCCGTTTGTCAATTAATGAGAATACACAAAAATGCTGCAAAAAAGCGGCCATTCATACGAGTATTGTAGTATCTCTTAAATAATCAGATAGCATCTGGCCAAACCGATATATATGATATTAGAAGGATAATACTCTTGAATGAGAAACAAATTAAAGATAATCAAGTGTTGCGTTAACTAGCATTTTGAAAAATAGTTATTTAGTGCAAAAATACGATAATTTACTAGAAATAATAAAAAAACATGGTTTATATATATGTGAACATAAAATTATTTTTTGGAACAACAAAAACCAGACGAAGTTTTACTAAAAGCTAATCTAGAACTATTATCAACTCCTAAGAAACTTGAGTTTCTGCCATTCAAGTCATTCTTTACTTCTGTTGTGGTTCTTACATAGGATGGCTTAACGTCTAGACAAGGGTTTCCAGTGAAAAAATTCCTTGGGCGTAACATAAGATCAAAGATTTCAGTCGGCATGACAGGGAAGTCTTCAGGTGCTGGGAAATGAGTGATACCAAAAGTATGGAAGAACAAAATGTCTGTATTTTCTATATTGTCTTTACCATCACTAACCCATTTATTCATACCTTGCGCAGAATCACCATCCCATTGACATACAAAATCACCCGATGGATACAACCTACCATATCCGTAATCTTCATCCTGGTATGGAACAACTTGAGTCATATTCAAAGCCCATGGGGCTCTTTTACATACAAGAGAACCTTCCTTAGCTAAAACGGGAGGACAAAACGTTGAAACCAACTTGTAAGATGCTGGCTTTCCAGAATTAGGGTTGATTGATTTGGAATTGAAAAGGTCCCAGGTTCTTGCAGTGCATGATTCGAAATTAGTAAAAGAATCATTAACCGTTTTAAACGTAGTTTTTTCATTATAGAATGCATTACCATATTTATTCTCCTCGGATCCTAAAGGAAATGGCGATTGCTTACAGTCACTAGTAGCTACTGAATTATTATCTCCATCAATTCTAGGGTGAACTCTAAGTGAGAATAAATGTTGGTGGTTGTGTGCGTTAACTTGAGGGTAAACCTGGGCTCCCCAAGGTCCAACATCTTCATCTTCTGCACAAATATATGTGTTCAAGATACCAGTTAACCTTATTTCTAATTTGACAGTACCGTCTTGTCTGAATATCCAATATAAACAATATTCATAGTTTGAAGCTGTAAATATTTGGGAAATAATTAATCTTGTGCCTCTGGTAACAATAGTCGTTTGAAAATCATCTCTGAAATCAGAGTGTTTGAATAGAACCCCATCATCTTCTTCGTGTACACATATGGCATTCTTAATAGTAGTAGGCTCACCATCTTTATCGGGAAAATGTGCATCCATGTAATGAATTACACCTTTACAATCACAACCCAATGAAAGTGGGTTCGTACAATGCCCAGCACCATATTCACCAATGTCCAAAGCATGTTTACGATGGTGGGGGTATCCAGGTGATCCGTAGGGAACTATCATTTCTGCTAATGAGATTCTGTGGAAGATAGGTCTGACTTTACCGTGGTCATTATAAGCAACGTCACTTAAAACAATCCCTTCTCTATAATTAAAACCAACGTGAAGCTTGAAGTTTGACCATTCAATTACATTGCCCTCAAATTTAAAGGAAACGCCTTCGGGTTGAGTGATATTTATTGGCTTAGAATCCACTCTATAACCTGATGGGTTTTCTGTAGTTCCAAATTCATACTTTACGTGGTCTGGATGAAAATTAGCGTGTTCATGCTTGGAAACTTTTCTTCTTCTGTTTGGAATGTCAATATATATAACCTTCCCAGCATTCATATCAACAATAGGACAAAAGTCTAATGGATGTGAGTATTGGGAGTCATTTTCGTCAGATCTCCAGTACATCAAAGCTTGTTGTAATCTTTTGGACGCACCCCATCTTTCATCGTATCCAATGGCCCATGCATCACAATAGACATTCTTCATCTCTTCTTTTGACACTCCGCTGATCTCACATTGCTTTATCACAGCAGCATCGTTTCTCACTATATCCTCTGTAGTCCGCAAATCATCCGGTGTCAATATTGGTTGCACAGCATCAACTTGACGCTTGTCAACAAATTTATGGCTACCGATATCAACCACTCCTTCCTGGAGCGCACTCACACCTTCTAAGATAACCACATAATACGCTAAACGGGGAGGCATTGGCCCATTATTTTCTTTCCAGCTATAATATGCCTTTTTACTTGGTTCTCTCAAAGTAATAGTATTGAAATTAAGCTTCTTACCCGAGTACTGCTGCTTAATAATGCTACTTACTTCTTTTATTTCTTGTGCAGATAGTGGATCTAAAGGATGCAATGCTCTTTGTGGTCCTGAGCTTGCAGCAATTGTATGAGTCGCTAGCTGTTGTAATCTTTCCATTTTACACTTATACCTCCTTCTACTATGTGAATATCTTAAATATACCTAACCACACACTAAAGTTTTGTAGTTTTAAGGAAGAAGACTTAAAAAACTTATAATGTATTTCTTATCAATATGAGGTGAGTAGCGCTTATCCCAAATCCCAAAACGGTCAGTATTTCCAGTGATAACGCTAGCCGGAAAAAAGACCCAATTGGGCGCGCATTTTGTTATTCTATCATATAGATATGTACTACTCATACAGATGGACCAATAGATCAAATCGATATTTACTTATTACTACACTAAACTATAGATAATACATTCTGCGTACAAAAGTATAACAATAATTCAATAAATAGAGCGTCCGAGTTTCGATTCAATTATCACTATCCAAATTAACATTGGTAGTATGACTAAGCATGATAAGTTGAGGACAATGCAGCAGCTGCTTAGGATATCTTTCAACCAAACAAAGTTTTCCGATAATGTATTAATTAAGTCTAATTGGGAACATTCTGCATCAGTGGTACAGGACAGTTGAATACTGTGCGTTAAATAGTTGATGAAGATCTGCGTAATGAACAGAGCATCGAAACTGATGGTGTGAGTTGGGGTATATATATAAATAGCGAGCAATTTGACCAAATTGATGAGCACATCATTGAACAATATCATCAAGCTCATCGACGTAGCAAGGATCACGCTGCTGTAGCACCATATGAATCTGGATAAGATGGAAGTAAACTGGGGAAAGTTTCTGAGCTTGGGATGATTTGCAACCTTGACAAAGATGGTGGCCACGTCAAGAAAGAAAAGGGTGAAAATAGCGTAGAAAATGTGATCAGACTTGAGGGTGATGCTCGAGTATTGAAAAAGAATCGCTGAAGAATTAAATAAGAAAATGTCTGGAACTATGCAATATGACATGACGGAAAGGATGACAAATGAGATGCAATGCTTGATAAAAAATGTCCTGATCGACGACTGGCCCAAGTTGATTCTGGATTTGGATACTGACAATTCCAGGTCCAGGTATTGGTATGTAGTTAAGTCGTCGTCGAACGAAACAGATTTCGAGCGAGACCGTGGTTCCACAGCTTTCTCTACATCATTGCTGTCTTCGTTGGAGATGAATGAAATGTATTCGATACTTTTCATGATGACATTGGAAAAAATGTGGAACAATGTCATCGATACAACTATTGCGGATAGTATTTTCACATCTTTCCGCAAATAGTACATATTCAATACAGAATGGATGTCTTCGTTTATAAAGTACCCTCCGAAGTCTTTAGGTAAGTTCTCGTTACTATTCAAATATCCGAGCACATTATTCAAGTTGAGCAATATGGTTTCAGTGAATGCTGTCATTACGAAGTTCCACAAGCAGAGACCGGTTATAACCGTAGTCAAACTTTTAAAATCTTCCGAATGCCTTTGAGGCAATACTTGGCTAACCTTGTGATATCTGTATATATAAATCATACCACATACAACGCTTCCACCCATCAGTACTAATTTGTATCCATTAATGTTTTCTGAAAACTTTTTGATCGTTTCGAGTATGGCGACCATCTGCATGCCACCACTATTTAAGTTTGACATTTTTACCTAGTATCAGTTCAAATTTACACAACTATGCCAAGACTGGTATCCAATTAAGTTCCACTGATATATGCTTCGCTTTTATAGGAAATAGAACTGAATTTTAATAATTTAATCGTTTAGGAAATATAATTGGTTTTATAACTTTCTCAGCCGTTTTAACCGAACTATAATTTAGCGTAGAAGGGTAAACGATTTTTCGCAATTACATTACTAAACGCGGATCGGGCGGTTTAATCTGATTATTAGACATACGCCAGGTCTAACAAAAATATACGTTTCTATATAGCTACATTTATAACATACCCAATATTCACTAGCGAAGCGAGTGATAGACTAGTGAATCCCATTGAATTTATTTGTATGTGAAAAAAAGTATGAGGATACAGAGATATATCGGATGTAGAAATATGCAATTGGGGCCGAAGAGCCGGCATTGCGAATTGCATTTCCGAGACTTTTTATTTTGCAGAAACTGACAGGAGGTAATCTATAAACGAAAGCAATTGGTGTAATGTGTTATGGTCACACGAGGGGTAGATTTTATAAAGTATCATATATTCTTGAAAGAGATTCAAATTACAAATAGAGTTCAATAAAACAGAATAAAAAAATACATATTAGATAGAAATTGACTTACCAAACATTAATAATTTAAAAATTAAATATTTAATAAGCTTATAATTTATCATAGTATTCTTCGTAACCTGGAACATCAGGCTTCATACCTTGACGTTCTCTCTTTTCCTTGACGATGGTACCGACCTTGGAGGTTGGGTCAGTTGGGTCACCGTTTAAGACGGCCCAGTGATCGAAGACCAATTGTGGGAAAGCTTGACCACCAGTAGATTGTCTTAATTCACCACTGAAACCGAAGGATTCATTGACTGGTAAGTATGCCTTAACAGTGAACAACGGAGTACCTGGTCTTTGTTCTTCAGAGATAACTTGACCTCTCTTCTTGTTCAAAACGGAGTAGATACCACCAATGGCGTTTTCTGGACATTGGATTTCAACCAAGAAGACTGGTTCTTGAATAGCTGGTTCAGCTAATAACATGGAAGCGTAAGTAACTCTTCTCATGGTTGGGATAATTTGACCACCACCTCTGTGGATAGCATCGGCGTGTAAAGTAACATCCAAGATGTTAACTCTAACGGATCTAACATTTTCACCGAAGATTGGACCTTCCTTGGTAGCCCATTGGAAAGCAGCGACGACGGAATCCTTGATTTCGTTCAAGTATTGGACGGCCTTGGTTTGATCGACAACCAAGTTTGGACCGTTACCATCTGGACCGAAACACCAGATCTTTCTGGCGTCAGTGACATCCCAACCGTGATTGTCGGCTAAGATTCTAGCTCTGGCCTTGAAATCATCTCTTGGGTTAATAACACCCCTTTCAATATCTAAGGAGACTTCTTCATCAATTGGTTGAGCCTTAACGTAAATTCTGTTATGCTTGTTTGGAGACTTAGATAAAGCGACCATGGAGGATTCAGCGTTAACGGTTTCTCTGTAAGAAACAATTGGCGGGGAGATCTTTAATGGAATACCAGCGTGATCGTTTTGTAAATCAGACAAACAAATTTCCAAATGTAATTCACCAGTAGCAGCAACAATGTGTTCACCAGATTCATTCATAGAGGTTAAGACACATGGATCGGACTTGGATAATCTCTTTAAACCTTCGACTAATTTTGGTAAATCGTTGGCGTTCTTGACTTCAACAGCGACTTGAACAACTGGGGAGACTGAGAACTTCATGACCTTCATGTTGTGGGAAGCTTCGCTGGTGGTGATGGTACCAGACTTTAATAAGAATTGATCGACACCAACTAAACCAACAATGTTACCAGCTGGACAGTCATCGATAGCTTCGACGAATCTACCCATCATCAAAACGGTTCTTTGAATAGCCTTGACGAATAAATCATCCTTCTTACCAACTTGGTAGTTTGGACCTTGAATTCTGACCTTTTGACCAGACTTAACAGTACCGGCGAAAACACGACCGAAAGCGTAGAATCTACCCTTATCAGAGGTTGGAACCATCTTGGAGATGTAGACCATTAAATCAGCGGTAGGGTCACAGTTCTTGATGGCGATACAGGAAGCATCGTCAGATGGACCTTCGTATAAGGTTTCAGCTCTGTAAGCTTGAGCGGTAACTGGGGATGGTAAGTGAATGACAATCATTTCTAATAAAGCATCAGCGGCTGGTAAGAACTTTCTCATAACAACCTTTAATAAAGCCTTACCTTCTAATTCCTTTTCTTCAGCCTTCAAGTTGATTTCCAACTTTTCTAATAAGGTTGGGATTTCAGCCTTCTTGAAGTTCATGATGGAAGAGAATAATCTGAAGATTGGGTCTAAGACGAACATGTTGAAAGCTCTTTCTAAAGTCTTTCCTTCAGCATCCTTGTCCTTGTTAGTCCATTTCTTGGTCTTTGGGTTGAAGTAAGAGTCACCCCATAATCTTTCCATCATCTTAATTCTGTCAACACCGAACTTCTTAGAGTATCTGGTGGCGAATTGTCTGACGGTGAAAGCCCAACCGTGTAAACCGGAACCGAAAGCAACGGTACCCTTGTCTGGGTAGACTTGAGCATCACCTAAACTGGAATCAACATAAGTAGAGATAATAACGTTAACGGATTCAATAGTTCTGGAGAAAGATTGGTATAAATCTTCCTTGGTGACTTGCAATTCTAATAAAGCACGATCAACCTTGTTAATAATAACAACTGGCTTAATTCTTTCACCTAAAGCTTGACGTAAAACGGTTTCGGTTTGGACACAAACACCTTCAACACAGTCAACGACAACTAAAGCACCATCGGTAACACGCAAAGCAGCAGTGACTTCAGAGGAGAAATCAACGTGACCTGGCGAATCGATCAAGTTAATCAAGAAAGAGTTACCTACGGTCTTTTGTTGGATTTCCTTACAGTCATCGTCACCCATGGCAGCGTACAAGGAAATAGCGGTAGACTTAATAGTAATACCTCTTTCTTGTTCATCTTTTCTGGTATCAGTGAATCTGGCTTCACCAGCCTTAGCAGCAGAAATAATACCTGCTCTTTGAACCAACGAATCAGTTAAAGTGGATTTACCGTGATCGACGTGAGCAATGACGGACATGTTACGGACATTGGTAACCTTGTCCATCAACTCACGGATTTGTTCAATAGTGAAAGCAACTATTAATATGTTAGTATCATTCATCATCAATGTCTCTTTTGTCACCTCTACCAGTCGTCAAATCATCCATTTTTGCTTTCTCATCCCTCTCAGGTGTCTCCATCTCCCTGACTAAAATTTTCTTCAACAAAAATTTTGGATTCTTTCGAATGGTGGGCGGCTAATTATTTGCACTAAAAATCTTTGCCAATTGTTTCAATTCTTAGTGCATTTATTGGTTTTAATATATACATACCCATTTTGATAGATTATTATTGGTGTTGGACGTTAGCTAATCTAAAAAAAATCGTTTTAATAAAATGCTAGGAAAAAAAAACCAAGGGAATGGCTACTGGAACCTGTCCAGCACGAGGGGATTGGTATCAAAATTTTTTGGTGATGGCTCAAGTGAGATCGAAAAATTTTTCAGCCGCCGGGTAACCTATATTTCTCGCAGTAAACACCATACTGGAAGGGGTTACCCGGGTTTGATTGGGCCAATGGTACGGGAAATAGAGGTTATGGGAGAAATTGGGATAGATTCTGAAGTCAGATAGGAACAATGAAGAGTGCAGAGTATTTAGAGGAGCAGGTCATGCGACTGGTAATAATTTTACGAGGAAATAAGAGGCGACGAACGGTGTAGAGGTGAACGAAGGAGAAATGTCAGCCATTTTTGGTGCTGGAAGAACAGGGTTGCGAGGAGATCGAAATGTAGCGGAACGCTCCTGCACATATGTATACATTCCATCTGATGTATGGATGTTGGTGTAGTATTGGGAAATTGGTCTGAAGCTGTAAAAATTGCGCCAACCTGCAAATGACTCTGATTATTGAAAAAATCGCTAATAGGATTAGATGAAAAATGGACCTGATTTGCAATAATACACCCCAGATACGTTACAAGATGCCTGATATAACAGTGTTAATATCCGGGTCAGGGTCGAACTTGCAGGCATTGATCGATGCGGAAAAGAAAGGTGAACTTGGTGGTACAATCACGCAGGTGGTTTCTTCGAGCGACACAGCATATGGCTTGACAAGGGCATCGCAGGCCTCAATTGGTACCAAGACACATATTTTGAAGGATTACTACAAGGGAACTACGAAAGAAGATAAGAGCGAGCGCCAGACGAGAAGAGAGAAATTCAATGAGGACTTGGCAAAGCTCTTGATCAACGGGGATATCGGGGACACTCCGGTGGCCGGATACACCAAGCCAGATTTGGTGGTGTGTGCGGGCTGGATGTTGATTTTGTCACCCACAGTTTTGACACCGTTAGAAAAGGCCGACATAACGATCATCAACTTGCATCCAGCATTACCGGGAGCATTTGACGGAACGCATGCCATCGAGAGAGCGTGGAAAGCGGGCCAGTCCGGAGATATAACTACTGGAGGGGTGATGATTCACAAGGTGATAGCAGAAGTCGACAGAGGAGAACCGGTGCTAGTCAAGGAGATTGACTTACGCAAAGACGAATCGTTGGACGATTACGAAAAGAGGATACATGATCTCGAACATGTTGCGATCGTAGAAGGTACAAATATAGTGTTGAAAGAATTAGCCAAGTAGGAATTAAGTAATATTTACACCAAAACTGCAACTATACAATTTCATCTTATCACTACGAATTTTAATCCTATTTTATATATTTAATGTAGTAATAAAACTAAATGAAACAATTACTATTCTTGCGATTATAATCTGGTAATAACTTGTTCGGTGAAGTTTTGGGTGGTAGAAGTACCGTATAAGTCACCAGTTCTGTTTTCCTTACCGGAAGCAATGGTATCTAAGACAGCCTTTTCAATCTTGTCAGCATCAGAGTGTAAAGACATGTGTCTCAACATCATACATGAAGATAATAATAAAGCGGTTGGGTTAGCTAAACCTTTACCGGCAATATCTGGAGCAGAACCGTGGACGGCTTCGAAAATGGAGACCTTGTTACCCATATTACCCGATGGAGTTAAACCTAAACCACCGATTAAACCAGATGATAAATCGGACATGATATCACCGTATAAGTTAGGCATGACCATGACAACGTCCCTGTAGTCGGATGGGTCAGCAGTCAATTTCAAAGAAGTGTTATCTAACAATTCGTAATCTAACTTGATGTCTGGGTATTCCTTACCGATTTCCTTAGCGGTGGAAACAAACAAACCATCGGACAACTTCATGATGGAAGCCTTGTGCACAACAAGAACATGTGGCTTGTTGATAGATTTGGCGTATTCAAAAGCGTATCTAATAACCTTTTCGGAGGCTGGCTTGGTGATCAATTTGATCGATTGCACAACACCTGGAACAATGGTGTGTTCAATACCCGAGTATTCACCTTCGGTGTTTTCTCTGATTAACACGGTATCAACGTTTTCGTATGGAGTATCGTATCCGACAACCGACTTACATGGACGAACATTGGCAAACAAGTTGAAAGTTCTTCTCAAGGTCAAGTTCATAGAAGTGTGACCCTTACCAACTGGGGTAGCTAATGGTCCCTTTAATGCAACTAAGTTTCTGTTGACAGAATCGACAGCTGGTTGTGGTAAAGTGGTCTTACCATCAATTAATAACGGAGTAACGTCAACGGATTCCCATTCGATTGGGACTTTGGCAGCAGCGTAGATATCCTTAACGGATTGAGAGATTTCAGGACCGATACCATCACCTTCGATCATGGTCACGGTATAGTTACCATTAGACTTCTTGCTTCCGGTAAATTGACCGGCAATATAAGATCTGGTGAATCTTGGGGAAATTGCTGATTGTCTAGTTATCTGTCTGAACATTCTGTTAACAATACGTTTAATTATTCTTATTAATCAAGAAGATGAAAATTTTAAGGATAATTGGCTCTGCGATTATATGATTTTCCGTTGATATTTTTTTTTTCAGACCAGGTTTAAGACTGAGCACTAAATCCCTTCCGACGCCGTTCGACCAATAAAAATCGAGATGTCTGGATGGTGCTTCGGAGCCGAAATACCAGATTTCTGCGGACTTATATTGACCGATCTACACTAGTAAAAGTAGGTTATAAACGGGGTTTTGTATTTTTAGTAGTGACGCTGAACACCGGTACCCATCATGTAGTGAATATTTGGCTCTCAAGCCAAAAAAAAGTGGTCAATAAGGCTTGTCTTGTCAGATCAGTATGTATTTCGCCGAGCGCAACACAACCGATACTCCGAACTTATAGGCGTTTTGTACAATAAGGGGAGAGGCATTACTTGGGTTTACCATATTTAGATATGCCGTAGAATGGAAGCACCGGTGACTTGGCAGAGAAGGCTGTCCACGAAAGCCTACTACTCTGGTGGTTTCATATAGAAATCAAGATAGTTGCGCAAATATTTTGCAGAATATTTTGCAATCATTGTTAGCTAGAATACATTACATGAAGAATTTAGTGACATATTCTCTATTAGAGCTTTTTCATATATATCTAATTACATAAGGTCGTAGGTATATAATGTTTGGCTTACATGTTAATAACAGCTCTGATACAGTCACCAGCATGCATATCATCGAACGCGGTGTTGATCTTCTCTAACTCGTGTCTGTGAGTGATGAATTCGTCAACCTTCAAACCGCCATTCATATAGTCTTCAACTATGCCTGGCAATTGAGATCTGCCCTTGACACCACCGAATGCAGCACCCTTCCATACTCTACCGGTGACCAATTGGAAAGGTCTGGTGGAGATTTCTTTACCAGCAGCAGCAACTCCGATGATGACAGAGGTACCCCAACCTTTATGGCACGCTTCTAAGGCATTTCTCATGACGTTGACGTTACCGGTACAGTCGAAGGTGAAGTCACAACCACCGTCGGTCATGTCGATTAATTTGTCGACAATAGTGGTGCCGCTAGGTAATTTAGCAGAGTTTACAAAGTCAGTGGCACCGAATTTTTCAGCCCATTCTTTCTTGGAGTCATTGATATCAACGACTATAATCTTTGCTGCCTTTCTTTGAAGAGCACCTTGGATAACGGATAAACCAACACATCCAGCACCGAAAACAGCAACATTGTCACCCTCACCAACATTCGCGGTGATAGTAGCCGCACCATAACCAGTAGTAATACCACAACCTAATAAACAGGTCTTGTCTGACTGAGCCTTTGGGTTAACAGCAACAACCGAGATGTCAGCTACGACTGTGTATTGGGAAAAAGTCGAACATCCCATGAAGTGCAACAATTCCTTACCCTTGCACTTAAATCTTGAAGTGCCGTCAGGCATAACACCCTTACCTTGGGTGGCTCTGATCTTACCACATAAGTTGGTCTTTCCTGATTTACAGAATTTACATTCCTTACACTCAGGAGTGTATAAAGCGACAACACTATCACCAACCTTGACACTGTCAACCCCTTCACCAACACTTTCGACAATTCCGGCACCTTCGTGTCCCAAAACAACTGGGAAAGCACCTTCTGGGTCAACACCACTCAATGTGTAAGCATCAGTGTGACACACACCGGTGTGCAAAATTTTGATACGAACTTCGTGGGCCTTTGGTGGAGCAACTTCAATATCTTCAATAGTTAATGGTTTACCTGCTTCCCAGGCAATTGCAGCCTTACATGTAATAGTCTAAACAACATTGTTAGTCTTGTATACAACACCATGCCAATGTAACGAATTATGGTAACTTCCAAGGTTGCATCACACTTTGGGGACACATTGTTCCTCGAGCGTTCCAATTCATTACCATTCTGCAAAATGCAGTCTTATCAGCTAATACATACTTTACCAGTGGTAGATTCAGACATTATAACGTTAATCAATTCAATTTTTAGAATAAGTAAGTAATTGATCTTATTCTTATAGCAAATTATTACTATCTTAACGTTTTTTAGCAAAATATGAATATCTTGTTCATTCACGACCTTGCTTACAAACTTGCTACAATTGTTACTAGATTTTTCCGGAACGACTAAATAGCTCGGATAATGATAATGTCTCATAGATTATAGTAGGACCATATCCAATGAAAACTTATAGGACATGTAGACCTGATTGAAAAATGAAACATTTGTCATGAGTGCCTTGTACTTCCTACTAGTGAAAAATTTCTGTAAAAAGTTTTGCAAGTATCTAATACTCGATTACTTCATAATATATTTATAAAACTAATGTATATACTGTTTACAAGACAGCACCAAAACCAAAGGTAATCTTTATAGATCTAATGTAATAATCTTCAAAGTTACCTCTAACTCTGTCTTCTTCACCAACAGGGATACCAGACCATTTCACAACCATTTTTGTTTCACCAGCTCCTTGGATCAATTGCAAGTCCAATTGAGCATAATGGCCAGACTTCCAGTCTTCCAATCTCCATAATTGTACTATTTTATCATTTGGCACTAATTTTAAGAACTTACCACTGATGGAACCCCCGAAGAGACTAAATTCAGAGCCTTCTTCAGGTGGGAAGCTACCCATTGACGGATTGGATCTACTCCACGCAGCCACACGCTGCTGGTCCAATAATGTGATATACAATTGCTCAGCTGTGGTGTTGAAAGTAGGTTCCAAGTGCAATGTAGAGGTGTTATATTTTGGCACAGACGAATTAGATTCCGGTTTTGCAGCTGCTGCACCCGAGGACGTACTCTTTTGAGCAGTAGAAGCTGGGGCAGAGACCTTCTTTGCCGCTGCTGGAGTCTTCTGGGCGTTTTCTTGATTGGCCTTGGTATATGCGGAGTTAACCTTGTCCGATGACAATTGAATGTCGGAACTATGAGTAGTTATCAAGTCGCGGCCGAATTTAATCAAGCTGTCTCTTAATTTAGGTAACAATTCCTTCTTAATAAGTGGTCTCATCTTTTCTGAATCAGCATCCTCATTGTAGATACTGATATCGAACTGTAAGTCGTCTTCTGTCGAATCGTACGCTAACTCAGGAACTGTGATTGAACCAGAAAATTCGCCTTCTTTCTTCGACTGAGAAATCGAATGACCTTTGATCTCAAGGACAACCTTTAAGTCAAAGAGAGAAATAACCTTTCCTTTACGTTGACAAACCTCGACATCACCTTCAACGGATGAAATTGTATTCACAAATACATCTTTATCATCTTCAGCTGCAGATATGTTGATCAAATTTTCGTTGAAATACTGTCTTGTCCAGTCAATACAGTTTTTATCGACCCAATGCCAATTATTAGGATTATGTACAACCATTTTTTGTGCTTCTTTCTATAGTGTAGTGGGTTTTATCGTGGGTTATCTACGATTATATAGACATTTTTGTGTGGAAAGATCTAGAAATTTCATGAACACAAAATTGGCAACGTGACACAAAACCACCAAAACAAAATATAGATACTCTACAACGATTCATTCCAATTTATGTATATTAACAGGCATCTCTACGTAAAATCTAGGCATCAACTTCCATGGCGTCAGCGGTGCCAGAATTAAAAGGTATAACCGTTTCTTCAACATCTACCAATTCACGCACACTTTCTCTCAAGACCGCAGTCGTACCTCTTGGGAACTTATACGATCTAGTCTTTTCAGATCTCACATTTGGAGTCAAGTAATTTCTGAATAATTCAGCATCCTTCCCGATTTCCATAACACACAAGTCAACGTTAGAACCAGAACCTAAATCGTTCCAGATACCCAGCTCGATGGCGTCCGCGACCAACTTCATAGCCTCTTCTCTAGACATGTCTGGTCTCCAGTGGGTTTCTAACACGGCCATTGCCGCCAAGGATCCAGATCCTAATGATTGATATTGTCCAATGTCTGTAGAACCATGTGCTTGTACCGATAACAAGTGTGCTCCGGTTGGATCAACACCCGCAACAATAAGATACGCTCCTAAGTGTCCTTGATACTTGAATAAATGCTGCTTCAATAACGTCAATGCTGTGATTACTCTTGGTTTACGGTTCTGTGATAAAGAATGCAATTCCAAGTTGGACGCTATCAATTGGGTCACCATCTCGGTGTCCGCAGCGGTACCAGCACCAGCACACCAAATTCTTGGGGCCAATCTATGTAATTTTTCACAATTTTTATCCGCCACAATGCTACCAGCCGTAGCCCTAGTATCTGCTGCAATAACAACTCCTCCTTTAAACTTACATCCGACAATCGTGGTACCAGTCGAAGTAGCGGTTGGCGCACCAAATCCCTTGGTGGTTAAAAAGTGATTCCTTTGATAATTATCAAAACTTAAACCAGGCATCCTTTTATTACTATTCTTAATTCAACGGTATATTCACTTATAAGATCCTCCGTTTCAATAATTGATTCTTATGGTTAAAGATACGATTATATTCTTTCCAACTTCTTTTTGCCTCCCACTCGTTTTGATATTGATAGATAATTCGCGCACGACACGGTATTCATTTTCGTAGCATTGATCTTGCAAACAAAACTACGCCAAGATACAGCGGTTAATTCAATTATATAACTACATTATCAGGGTATTTGGTATTATAGAAGCTCGAAATGGTGGATAGGTATAGATATATAAATCCTTCGAGAGTTAGGACATTGGTGGTCCCAATTAATGGTTGTACACAAGCAGACTTTGCCAGATATCTCGAATTGGTACGATCAAATGCTAATGAAGTTAGGTTGTTAGACGTAACACCTATAGGTCAATTACAATACTTCAATCCACAGACGTTTCCACACGGGAAAGTGATGTTTGACTATGTGTCGCATGCACCCGAAGCAGAGTCGATTTTTTTGCATGATTTTGAGCCGTTTCGAAAGACGTTTATCATAGTTGGGGTCGGGAAGTACGACGAAGGAGTTACGTCAAAGGAGCAACAGACACAGGTGCTTGAAAGTTTGAAGAAATGGCATCCTAGTTCGATAGTGCATAATGTGATTTATTTCGATACACCGGGGGACGTAATTGACGATTTAAACCCATCAAGCGATCATTCGACAAAGGAGGTTTTTTACCACGAAGGATCGTTAGAGCACAATATTACGGCATTGGAAACACTCATGTGTGAGGTTACTAGGAATTTTTTAACGGCATTGGATAGCTACGCATCATCATATTTAAACATAACATTGAGGTCTCCCGTCTCTATAAGCGACAGTCACAATTTAACCAAGACTATAAGTAAAGCGCAGAAAAGGATAAGTTCTAGTTCTGGATCTTTTAAAGTTTCATTTTCGTCAACGTCCAGCACGAATGGAGCGACGTCGGCTTCGGACTTGAAATCAAAATCTCAACAACGACACAATGGTAGACGGTCCAAACTCTTGGGTAGTTTCTATTTATTAGCAGGTAAATATTCAGATGCATTAGAGTATTTTACTGATTCCATAGCGAATTTGAAGAAGTGTGACGACTATTTATGGCTCGGCAGTGCCTTAGAAGGTATTGGAAACTCCGTTGTCATGTTACACTTCTTAGGTATATCATACAATTTATCAAGTGCTACCATAATTTCAGTCTTGCAAATCTCCAAGAGTAAACTTAATGCAATAGCATCTGCAGTATCTGCTACGAATGTGGAAAGTTCTTCTCCGAAAAAGATATCAACCGATTCTTTATCCCGTAATAGTACGACAAACGGGCATTTATCGGTGCCGCATCAAGCCAATTCACCGAGAAACTCGAGCAGTAGTACGATAAATTTTAATTTTGCAACTTCCAATATTCCTGGCTCAGGTCCAGATTTAAATTCTTTACCCATTCCTCAACTAATAAAATTGATTTCTTCAAAGGCTTTACAATATTATCAGCTTAGTACCAGTGATTACGAGAACACGGTTCCTGACTTAGTTTATGTGGAGTCATTGTTAAGACTAATTAAATTTATGATTTGCATATATCTTGGTGGAGATGAGTTGAATTCTACGGTAATGGATAGCATTGTGAAATCAACACCCATCAATAACAAACTGAGCATTTATTCAAGTAAGGATGATAAATCGTGGTTTCTGAAACGAGATATACTTAAAGAGATTGATAAAGTGTTTTCTTTACAATTAGTTGATATGGAGTTAATTGACCAATGCAGAATTTACTGTTGTTTAGCAACCATGTACAGCGATTTAGAGCTATTCAGAAAAAGAGCTTTTATCCTTCGAATTTTATTAGTTAGTTTGCTACCTAAATTGGAATTAGCGGCAAAGGAGAAAGAAGATAAGATTGATTTTGACACTCAGAGAAATATTTCAATTATCTCCTTTGAGGGTACGTCTTCTAATGGAAGTCAGGTGTCCAGTATTAGACAAATATATGAATCTTTGTTTGAGATCTATAAAATAAATGAGGAAACGGAATGTTCATTGGATTCTGCTTCACATCATGCCCAGAGTAACTGGGTTTCCTTACAATTATCTCTTTTGAAATTATGCTTGAAAATCTCAGAAACAATTAAAGACTATCCTTTTTTGATGAAGTTATGCACATTACTATTAACCCGTTATTCTCATTGTTTACCTATTGACGATCAATGCAAATTGAAAGACAAAATTGAGTGGCTATCATATATGTCTCATAAAAATAATTCAAATATCGTCGCACCGTATTGGGATCCATTCTTGGTTAGGAAGGTGAAATTTATAAGTAACAGGAACAAGGATGAATTGATACCATTTGCTGAATACCAGAAGGCATCCAATAATGTTGGATTAGTTGATGGGCTGCCAAGTCGTAATATTTCTGGCCCTTCTGGTGCTAATCAGCCGTTTGTTTTCAATCCATTCAACAAAGCTAACAATACAGCAATGAATAAGGACAAGTTGTTAATCAAAGATGAAATTTATCAATTGAAAGTAAGCTTACAAAACCCATTTGCGTTTGAAATTGAGCTTAATGATTTGTCTATTGTAACAGATGGCACAATAACAGTTCAGACTTTAAAAAGTTTGGTGAAATCATCTAGTAATCATCAGGTTCCATCGCCAAATTTAAATTCGTATAATAACCGAAGTAGACCTAATAGCATTAATAAGATGCGATCTGCTCCACATATTTCAGCTACCCAGAAGCGTTCCCAGTCTACGCTTTTCAATAATAATCAAGGTCAAATGGAGACAACTCCTTCTTTAAATGTCTTCAATGGCACAAACAGTACGATAACGATTGGTCCAAAGTCAGTTGAACATTTATTGGTAGCATTTAAGCCATTAGAATCAGGAGAACTAAATATAAAAGGGTTTGAGATTTCTATTTCTAATTGCCAACCTCAATTTTTCCATATAATCGATAAAGAAATTTACAATGGATTGCTGAAAGTGAAGAAGTTTGCTAATAATGATGAAAGTGATCATGAAACTGGGGATAATATCATTGAAAATCTAATTGAGAACAAGATTGAGTCTCGAGCTATAACAAAGATTTTAACTCTTACAGTAGTTCCTCCTCAGCCAAATTTAACCCTCACTAATATTCTGTTAACTAATGGTTGGTTAATGTTGCTTGAAGGTGAAAAGTACAAATTTTCAATTAGCTTATCAAACCAATCAAATGAACTAATTAATTACCTTTCTTTTTCATTTTGGGATTCGACAATCGAACCTTTGAATAAGAAGTTAAATTCCATTGGGATTAATAATAACCAAAATATGTCAGCTTCTGATATTCATGAAATTGAATGGCTTCTATTAAAATTCAAGCCGTTCAAAATATTGAACAAGGATGAAATCAGTAGCTTTTATAAGACTATTGAACCTCGTGGAGATATCAAGATCGATTATGAAGTGACTGGAAAGCGAGGCATGAATGAGCTGAAAATAATATTGGAGTACGCTAACAAGCAATCCAATGATGCATTAAAGAGCTTTGTGAAACACGTTCATGTGCCTCTATGTTTGTCGGTTGTTCCGTCGTTTGAAATGGTAGGCTTCGATCTTTTGCCACTTTTGTCTTCTTCCCTACAAGGTCTTGAAGATCGAGAGCTGATGGTTCAAGAGGGTGATTTAATTCAAAGAAACCTTGAAGCTGTACTAAAATTTATAACCGATATATCAGAAAAGCAATCAGAGAAGGTTTCCGATTATTGTTTGCTCGTCATTGATTTAAGAAATTCTTGGAACGAGAAGCTTTCAAGTAATCTAACTTATCAAGTTAATTCGAAAGATAAGTTTAGTGTGAAAGAGGATATATCATCGGGAAAAACCACGAGGTTCCTTCTTCCTATTAAAAGAATTTCAAGCAAAGAAGCAGGCTTATCCAAGCTAATTCCGTCGTTACGTAATAAGCAATACATCAAGAATTATCTGATTACCGAAGAAGAGGACATGGATATGAGAGAATTGTTCTGGTTAAGAGAAAGTATTTTAGAGAAACTTACAGGAACATGGGGAACTATTCCAAACAAAAGTACAAAGCAAAGATACGGTTCAATTGAATTAAGAAGTCTTAGATTAACGCCAAAAATGGCCGACGTACTTATTTATTCTAAGATACAAATGCATCATCAACTTTTTAATGAGAATGAGCCAGACATTTCGATCAAAAGAAATGGTTCCCAGTTTCGTTTACAGACTGAAGAATTTTACACATTACGAACAACAATTTGCAATGACGCGGATACGAGCATAACTGGTATGCTTAGACATTTACCATATCCATTAGCATGGCCAGTTCCTCCGTCCAGTATTGCCAACAGCTTAACATCAAATTTTGCCAAGAATCAGATGACCATTGACAGACGAATCTTGATCAACGGAATACTCCAAACTAGCATAGGTGACGATTCCATCAGGCCCGGTGAGTCTAGGCAACTTGATTTAAGCTTTGTCATATTAGAAAAGGGCGAATATGAATGGGGTTCAGTTCTTGACATATTTAATAAAGAAGGGTTGAAGATTGTCGGACGAGAACCCATTTACATCTCTGCATCTTAGTCATATATATAAATTCACGAATATATTATTTATTGAATCATAAGAAGTAGTATGTACAAGTAAAGGTAACTAGGATACTATATTTCATTATCTTGGTCCTAATTTAAATGGCAATGGCTGAGCATTTTCTGATTCTAACTTTTCAATATATCTTTGTCTAATTAAGTCATTATATCTTTTCTCCTGGAAGTACTTGAACCAACTAGCTACACATTTATTTTGGAAATTATCTCTCAACTCTCCGCAATTCTTCTTGACATTATTCTCTTCTTTAGGATCTAATGAATTATCAATCTTATTTTTTTCTAAGCAATCAAAAAACCCATCACGAGCTTCCCAACATTCCTTTCTCTTGGATTTGTTTGGTGGCTTTATGGGCGTTTCTTCCTTATTGAACAATCCCATGTTACAATGTAATTACAATTAGGTCTAGTTAAAGCTGTAAGGCATTTTGACTTCATCGAATTATGTCCCCATTCTCATTCCGGTCATATTTACGTGTAAAACCGGAATTGATTTTTATTGTACCTATTGCAAAAAAAATCGTATAAAAAGTTTGTCACTCCTGCCATCTCTACTCCACAAAGGAATTAGAAGTAAACGAATATGACCAACCAGAAGCCAGAAGAGCTGTCAAATAGTGCGGAGGACGCTAACTATGAAATTGATATTCAAGAAGACAAGGAATATCCTATCTTCAAAATTAAATATAGATCCAACTCCGTCAGTAGCATCGGAGCACTTTCAGATGGACCGAGCTACGAGAACTTACCAACAGTCAAAGTGTTAGGTACAGGTGGTACTATTGCATCTAAAGGTACATCATCACACCAAACCGCAGGCTACGAAGTGGATTTGACTATTGAAGATCTTATTAAGAGTATACCAGACTTATCAACAACCTGTAATTTACAATATGAACAGGTCTTAAACCTTGACTCGAAAGATATTGGAACATCTGAATTATTAATGTTGTACCAAAAAATTCAAGAAGATTTACCTAATTATGATGGTATAGTTATTACGCACGGTACTGATACCATGGAAGAAACATCATTTTTCTTGCAATCAACATTACGTACAAGCAAGCCGATCGTTATGTGTGGATCTATGCGGCCTTCTACTGCCATTTCTTCAGATGGTCCTATGAACTTATACCAAGCAATTGTTATTGCGGCTCATAGAGATTCGAGAGGTAGGGGAGTGTTAGTTGCACTTAATGATAGAATCGGGGCAGGTTTCTATATCACCAAATCTAATGCTAATTCATTAGATACTTTCAAATCAATAGGTCAAGGATATGTGGGGAGCTTCGTGAATAATGAGGTCCATTATTTTTTCCCTGCCGCAAGGCCTCTAGGCATAACCTATTTTAAGTTATCAAATCCTTCTGCGTTAGCTGATTTACCAGAGGTGCCTATTATTTTCGCTCATCAGGGGTTGAATAACAAAATCATTGAGGTGACAATTAAAGAATTAGGTGCAAAAGGTTTGGTATTTGCTACTATGGGTGCGGGATCATTAGCCAAAGGTACTAATGAATTTGTTTGTACATTTTCAAAAGAACATAATAATATACCAATCATCTATTCTAAGAGATCTATGGATGGAATGGTTCCAGTGGGATCATTACCAAACATTTCCAATGACAAAGGAGAAACAGTTGAATACAACAATGCCATTGCTAGTGGATATTTAAACCCTCAAAAGTCAAGGATTTTATTACAATTATGTCTCAGCGATGGAATGGAAATTAATGAAATTAAGAGAGTGTTTAAGGGAGTTTACGGGGGTTAGATGACGTGGAACCGGTACAACCAATTATACGTACAAATCTCTCACGCGCGGGTTTTAAGTAGAACAATTCATACATTAAGATACATAAACACTATTACGAATTAATATAAAATTCATGCCAACAAGGTTGAAAACAATAAATAAACAAAATAAAAGAATGATCCAAATTAAGAATCGACTCAAGTATACATTATCAAAATGCCATGACTAAGAGTCATTGTAAGCTTCGTCAACCTTATCTTGACAAGAAGCCAAAATTTTCTTTCTTTGTAACTTTTGGGCGGAAGTGACGAAACCATTTTGCGGGGTCCATTCATCATCCAATAAAACAACAGTTTGAATTAATTCAATACCCTTCAAACCTTGACTCTTACCAGTTTGAACCAAATGCTTAGTGACCGCGTTAATAACCTTCTTTTCTTCACACAAATGAGCCAACTCCTTTGAATCTAAGTCCAGTTGGGAATAGATTTTCTCATCAGCCAAGAATGATTTAAGATTGGCTTCGTTTGGGAGAACAATTGCAATTGGTTTAACCTTTGATTGATCTGCATATGCACACAAGTTAAAAACTACTGGATTTGATCTGTAAACAGACTCTAACTTTTCCAATGCAATATATTCACCGTTTAAAGTCTTCACCAAATTCTTCTTACGGTCAACGATTCTTAACGCACCATTTGAAGCCCATTCACCAATATCACCAGTCTTAAACCAGCCATCAGGGGTAAATGAATCAGCGGTTTCCTTTTCATTTTTGTAGTATTCCTTAGTAACACATGGACCAGTAAGTAAAATTTCACCCTGGTTATTCTTCGCAAAGTAACCCGCATCAGGGACGTCAATCAATTTGGCAGTGACTGCCCCAGTCAATGTACCAACAGTACCATATTCAAAATGTTTATGTTCAACAATGGTTGTGTTGGCACAAGTTTCAGTTAACCCGTAACCAAGCAACATTGGAGCGATCAAGTTAGAAACAAAAACCTGAGCATCTTTTGAAATTGGTGAGCCCCCATTTAGCACATATCTTAATTCACCACCAGTCGCAGCCTTAACCTTCTTAAAAACGACGTCAAATACACCGGCACCTGGAATATGGTAAGCCTTAAATGCTGCCTTGGTGTGGTATGCACTCCAGAAGATCTTTTGGACAAAAATACTTTCTTTTCTAATTTTGGCTAACACACCCTTTCTAACCGATTCCCATACAGCAGCAACACCAACCATAATATGTGGTTTGAATTCTACTAAATCTGATTGACAATTTCTACACGATGTGTCAGTCAAAGTCTTAACGTTAGCATACCCTAAGCATCCACCCCACCAAAATGCAGCCAATTCGAAAGTCAATTCGAAAATATGTGCCAATGGCAAGAATGCTATAATACGATCATTGTTGCTGACAAGCGATCTATCGGCATTTGTCGAAACACCAGCGATACCAGCAAGAATATTACCTTGGGAAAGAACAACCCCTTTTGGTGGTCCAGTAGACCCAGAGGTGTACATAATACAGGACAAGTCCTCAGGAGCAGGGCTCTTGAGTTCGATGTCCCTGTTGGCCCTACCCAATTCAACACATTCGTTAAACGAAATAAATTTGATTTCAGGTCTGTTCTCCAAAATCTTTTCCTTTGCACCAATGGCATCACTGTAGTATTTACCGCCCATTCTCTTGTCGTTAGGGTCGATATCATCAAAGTGGATGATGAATTTGACCTCCTTGGCTTCTTTCAATGGCCTAACCAACAGCGGCAACAAAGTGTTATCGGTGAAAATGGCCTTCAGTTCAGTCTGCAATAATGAGTGCACTAATCCACTTTCACCCAATGTGTCGTAGGCTGTCACGGCAGGGATACCCTGGAATTGCGCTGCCAAAAACGTCTGCATCCATCTGTGCGATGTTTGGGCATAGATGTGCAACTTGTCGACTTGTTGTGGCTTCAATCCCAACTTCACAAGCCCCCTACTGTAATCCTTAATCAATTGTAGCAAGTCCGGGTAGTGAATGTAACTGTACTTGGCGTACTCGTAGTATATCCAATCCTTGTCCACCTGGGTGTTCTTGCCATCAATCTTCTTAGTCACCTTCTTCGTCTCAACGTGTGTGTCAATGAAATCTCTCCATCCCATGGCATTTCTCTTACCTTGTCTCTTAACACATTCCTCAAAAAAATCTACCAAAGTGGTTGCCTTCGAGTCGGTTGGTCTCTCCAACGCTTGTGCCTTTTGAGTTGACTTTCTTCTTGGGGCCGTTTCTCCGGCCTTAGCTTCGCCGACTGGAACTGTAAGCGCTACCATACTATCTGATGTATATCTTACGTTTATTCTCGATGTAATAAAGTTGATAAGACTAATTCAATTAGAAAGCAAAAGAACTATTATATGGACGAAATCCCCAATTCCTTCTCGCTATTCGTGTGATAACAATTTTAATTTATATATGCGAAAAGAGGGGTTTAACCACTATGAGAAAATGTTCTATGTGTGAAACAGGCATTACATGAAACTATTAGTATAGCATATTGTGTCACGCAAATGATTGCTTCCACAAGCACCTCTAGGTTAGCGCCCATTAGTCCTTGAACCTTCAACTTCCCTGTACCGATCCTCGGTAAAAAGACGGGGTCTGTTTGGCAGACTAAAACGAGGTTTAAGCCGTTCTCTACCGAAGATTACGGAAGTTCCAGGGTGCAAGGCGGCTGTCACAATAATCGCAGAGCCAATCACCACATAAAGTGTTGGGTACAGGTTTGCGACCCAACAAAAACGCGTGGGTGCATTTGCAAAGTGTATGGATGTTTAAGGGAGAGTGAGTGGATGGTTATTCTGTTCACCGCCCACCAACATTTAAACCCCCACTGGGGAGTCTGGGGGGTCCCAGTGGTCGGCATGAGTTGGTGAGTGGTTGCAGGTTGCAGGTTACTGGGTTGTAATAACAAACCGGATGTGTATTTGTGGCTAGTTCATATATAAGATTTTAATTTTTTTATTGTCCGAGAGCGTGCAACATTTATTGTATATTCCGAGGTAGGCAGTTTTGGTAATAGCTGTGAAAGTGCGAAATAGTAGACCGCGAAATAAAGGTTTACACGAAGCCTACTGGCAGATGATATGGAGATACTCTAGGTAGTAATACTCAGAGAGAAAGTAATGATAGGCGGATAGTGGGCAAGCGATAAGAGTATGATAGCAGAAAT